TATGATTAATCGCATTTTTATGATGAACGATTTATGGTGTTCATCATAAGTCATCGATGTAGGTCGTCGTACACCTGAAAATGTCCGAAAAATGGAATAATACCAGAAATCTTTCGGACTGTCACCTACGGATAAAAAAAAAAGCTATATTATATCGTCATTCGCAGGTTAATGTTGTCGATATTTATACATTTCGATCTTTCAAAGTTATATAGGCTATATATATATATAACTCTTTTATTTATGAAAAATACATTCGGGTTAATATTTTTTATTTTTTGAATGTATCACATATCAGTTTACTAAGTTTACGTGAAAACAATATTTAAACTTGACATCAGAAATTAACGTTAAGCAGTATTAGTTACGTATCATTTCCACAGTTAATAAACAGATTAACAGAATAACAGATTAAAGTGTTAAATAGTTAGTACTAAGACTGTATAAATTAATAAAGGTCAAGATGACGTTCCGAATTTAAAATAAGCAGTTAAAATACCGGTTTTTACAACCTTGGGAATTTTCCAAGTTTGTTCTTTATTAATAACTAGCAAACCCCGCCACGCGTTGTTGTGGCTCAAAATGTATCTATTATAAATTTATAACACTTCCCCATGGGGGGGGAATTTTTCGAAAAATTTTTTCTTAGTGTAATTCTCCTGACGTACCCTATTAAAACGCAATCAAAAACGCAAAAAACCGCATCTAAAATAGTATAAATAGAAGCAGAGTTCTTTACGGTAAGCCTTAATCCTAACCATCTCTCTTCAATGGGAGGAATTTCGACATGTATATTATATAAAAACACGTGCGTATTCGAATGCAGCGTTGTGTCAAAATTTCAAAGGAATCGGTAGGAACAAACGAACATTACAATTTTATTTATATAGATAGATAGAAGATGATCCGCTTTAGTTCATTTTCACAGAAAAGCGTAATGCTTTACGGAAAAGCAAACTTAGGGCGTCGTACTCGTAGCACCATCTGTTGGACATAAAAGTCTTAACCTAGATTATATATTTTAATTTATATGAATGTTTAACGGAATAATATACAGCCTATGTCCACCCTGAAGTTCCATTCTAAATATTGGTGAAAGAATTTTTGAAATCGGATGAGTAGTTTCGGAGATTACCCGCTACATCCAAACTTACTTACATACAAACATTACCTCTTTATAATATTAGTATAGATTATATGAATATTAATGGATAATGTATTAATAATTACAAATATTAATATATATTTAATATATTAATATTATAAAAGTATTAAAATTTAGATGGCTTTATGATAATTTTTTAATATAAAAAATATATTATTTGTAAGATTAAAACAAGGATTATAATAAATAATAATTAAACTTATTAATTTGAAGGTTACTGTATAGTATTATATTACAGATTAAAGTTATTAATGGTGTGATATCTGCAAATTTTCTGAAAGAGCATCTAAATTTTTCATTTTACCGTTTCATAATATTGATTCTTTCTAACACATGTTAGGCTATATAATTATTTTGTCAATCTCTAGAAAGAGTTTATGTTTAATATATTAATTGATAGCAAGTTCAAGAGCAACAATAGAAGAGTGCAAAACATTTACGAAAAAGTTAGAAAAGAAATAATGTACTGGTAATTTCTTCAGAAACATCATCATAAATGTCCGAATTTTTTAAAAAATAAATCGAAATTAAGTCAAGTAAAATATTTAATATAAAATCTAAAAGGTTTTTTTCTCATAATACTAATTATTCCAATAATAATAATGTAAATATTGAATTATTATCGATTTATAATGTTTATGATAAAAATTATATTCAAAATAAAGAAAGGTTGATAAAATGACAGAATTATAAGATTATTTTTTCAATTATTTTAATTATTTATAACTGTATAAATTAATGAATAGTTTTTAAATAATAATACAAATTAGTATCTGATCTTTCCATGACGACATGGTCTGACCTGACGTTTTAGCAGCCTAAAAAAGAAAGGTCAGGTCGACACGGAATGTATTTCGGAACAATGAAGTGAATAAAAAAGTAACTGTTTCGACAGAGTTTGTCTTCAGTTTTAATTAATTAATGTGAAAATTACATTCGAAGTTTAAAATACTTTTTTAAGACAAAATAAAAATTTTGTTGCTTAAGCGATTTAAAATTCAATTTAACTTTATTCATTTATTTTTAATTTTAATGCTTAAAGATTATCTAAGCATAGAAATTCTTCTAAACATTTTTCATTTAGTAAAATCTTTAAAAAATTTTTATTTGTAAAATAAAAATTTTTTAAAGAATTAATAAAATTAATTAACTTATAAACATTAAGTTCTACTTTTTCGGCTGTTTTACAGAGGAAAGTATGGCAATCCAGCAGAAATATGACTCCTCTGATTTTTGCATTTTTGGAGTTAGGACAGTTTTAAACATTGAGAAACGCAAAAAATTCGGGAATAATTTCAATATGTATGGATGTTAGTGTGGGGGAAACGATTTTATTCATCCTGTTTGTAGCTTAATAACGCCTGTGATTTTTGTGAAAAATTTCTGAAAGTTTGCAGGAAATTTTGTGTATTGGGGGATTAATGCTATTAAATTTTGGTAATTACAGGTCGAGAATGGGGAGATAATGGGGGTCGTATGTATCTCCAGTAGGATTGGACTTTATGACGATTTTATTGGTTATTGGCATTTACAACCTTTTATAAAACCCATCCAAAATTAAGCTTTTTGCCATTTTATAATAGTTAAAAATATAAAAAATGTTTTTAGTAAAATATGATAACAGATGGCGCCACCACACTTTGCCAGGAAAGCAAAGTGTGGTGGCGCCATCTGTTATCATATTTTACTAAAAACATTTGAGCAACTCGTTGCTGTTGCAGTTGTTATGTTTTACTAAAACATGATACATTTGCTGTTGCAAATGTTATCATATTTTACTAAAAACATTTGAGCAACTCGTTGCTGTTGCGTTAAAAATTTTTTATTTTCTTTATTCTTTTAATGTTTGAATATAATAATTGCTTTGTTTAGACATCTGAATTGACATAACTTTATTTTCATACATATTGTAAATACTAATATCCAATTTATTCTATACTAGCAGACCCCGCCACGCGTTGTTGTGGCTCAAAATGTATTCATTATAAATGTATAACACTTCCCCGTGACGGGGGGAGGGGTTTTTCGAAAAATTCTTTCTTAGTGTACATTCTGTTGACGTACCCTATTAAAACGCAATCAAAAACGCAAAAACCCGCATCTTAAATAGTATAAATAGAAGCAGAGTTCTTTACTGTAAGCCTTAATCCTGTCCATCTCCCCCCAGTGCGGGAAATTTCGACACGTATATGATATAAAAACACGTGCGTATTCGAATGCAAATGTTGTGTCAAAATTTAAAAGGAATCGGTAGGAACAAACGAACATTGCATTTTTATTTATATAGATAGATAGAAGATGATCTGCTTTAGATCATTTTCACAGAAAAGCATAATGCCTCACAGAAAAGCAAACTTAGGGCGTCGTACTCATAGCGACATCCGTTGGACATAAAAGCCTTAACCCTAGATGATCTTTTAATTTATATGAAGGTTTAACGGAATAATATACAGCCTATGTCCACCCTGAAGTTCCATTCTAAATACTGTATTGGTGAAAGAATTTTTGAAATCGGATGAGTAGTTTCGGAGATTACCCGCTACATCCAAACCTACTTACAAACATTACCTCTTTATAATAGATTTGTTATACCCTTCTTGCTCCAATACTCCTTGATTGTAAATGCATACCCCAGTTATATATAGCTCATAAAGTTATTATAATATTTAATAAATTTTATCACAATTAATCTTACAGTTTGAAGCTGAAGCCAAGGATTCAGTGAAAATCATGAAAGAAATTTTGGAAATTTGAATTCTGCACAAAATGTTTAAAATTGATACAAAAAATAATTAAATCAAATTACAAATTTAAGAATGTAATTTGTTCTAAGTAAAAAAGAAAAAAAAACAAAAAGCGTGTTTATCAGTCAAATCTCCTATTACTATTTATTTTCTGTTATTATTAAGAAATAAGTAAAACTGATACGCCTCGTAGATGGAAAGTGTGAAAACTGCATATTCTCATTGGTGAAGGAAACCTTTTCATTGGCTACACTTTGATCAGGAATATTAAACACATGGTTATTTAGTATATTTAACGAATTAGTTGTTTAAATTGCTGACAAAAGAGTACATTGCTTCTTGTATTAGTTTACGCTGATACCATTATAACTCTGTTATCAGATTCCCTGTTAGCAGATAAAGAAGTGAAATGTGTAAACGTCAGGCACAGTGTTGCTTTAACTGCAAAAATTGAACATTTTTACATCACTCTAAAAAAGCGTTATTTTGTAAGGTGGAGAGATAAATGTTTATTTGAAAAGATAACACTAAATCAGCAATAAAGTTGTCCCACTTACATTAAATTCAAAACTATAATAAAATATTGAATAAATTTATGTAAATATTGCTAATAAACAGTAAATTCAGGATGAATACTATATTTATTTATTTTTTTCATTACTTTAACACCGAAATAGTTTTATTTAAAAATCATTTTTAATCCTGGCTTTTTTTTCTTTTGTTTCTTATCCATTTCTGTCAGTTAAATATATACTTTTAAATATACTTTCTCTTTAATAATTTTTTTTCTATACCATTAATATAGTTTCTTACAATGAAAACTTATGACTTACTTATAGAGTTTTAAAGTTTGGTGTGATAATAAACATCTTATATTCTTTCTAATGCAGTGCCGAAATAATATATAGCTGTGAAGGATATCTGAAAATCGATTTTTGAAATTTTCTCTAATATGATTGGTATATTCTTTAAAAGATAATGCATTACTCCAAGAATAAAGTAATCAGGAACTCCTATACAAAATAGCTATAATTTCGAACATTTTAAAAAATATAATAGAAATGCAAAAAAAAAAAATAGAAATAACATTTGAAAAACGTCGAAAATTTTTACAATAAAAAAAAAATAAAGGAATTAGAAAAAGCAATGGATAAATCGGTAATTTATATATTAGAATTAGAAGAAGAAATTGAATTTTTGAAAAAAGAACTCAAAGTTATGGAACACAAAATGGAAGAAATGGAAACATTTCAATATGGCGATGGTAATTTAACAGAACTAGAAGAAGTAATTTGCGATTTGAATCAAGAATTTAAAAATACTAAAAGTACTAACGAAGATTTGGAAGTTACATTTGAAAACGAGAACGAATTATCAACGAAATATTGGAAAAATAAAGCTGAACAACTTGAAATTAGTTTGAAATATAATCAAGAAGAAATTAATGTTTTAAAGGAAAGATTGGACTCGATTATCAAAATTATTGGAAGTGATCAAACCTCAGAAGTATTCGAATTTAAAGAGTAAGTCAGATTTTAAATTTTTAAAATCTTTAATTAAATTTATAAAAATTTCGAAATTCATCACAATATATTAATTATCTTGTTGATCTAATGTTTTATTTGATCATGTTGAGCGGAGCCTTCGAAACTTCCCACAACTTTAAACCATTTTTCAGTTTTTTTTTCCTATCGTTTCTTTAATGTGATTCATCTGTTTGTGGATCTTCTCCTTAACTTTATCGTTCTCAATATAAAATAATGCGAATCAAATTGATAATATACATATCATTAAAAATTGGCTGGTAGTTTTTCGTTCGGACGCCCTTGCAATATATGAATCGAATTGAAATGTTACACTTTTGTACGTAAAATATTTAACGTTTTAAGATTTCTGGGAAAGTATTTGACATGCCCTTGACTGTATAATAAAAAATGCCCATTTGACTATATCATTTTTCTTTCTTAGTGTAAGAAGTTTTCTTCTATTCAAAAATTTCACATCAGTAAGTCAATCAACGAGTGAATGAGTGAGCGTGTTATTGAGACCAATATAATTTTATTATATTAGACATTCGATTGAATAAAATTTGTTATAAACACGTTATAATTAGATATCGGATTTGGTAGCAATTACTATTTTTTACTGTTCAGAAATAGCATATTTTTACCGGACACCACAGTTGCCAGTTACTCAAACAATTTCTCAAACAATTACACAGATTTCCTCAATTAATTCAGATATACCGCACACGATCTCCCAGTTTCGTCTTGAAAATATTTTTAACTAAAGGGAATTCGTAATTAAAGTTTACGAAGATATAACATTGGAAATCAGCAGAATGACGTCCTATTTTAAATTAAGGCTTTTGTGGAATTTTATTTAAAACAAAATAGTTTAGTTACAAAAATGTCCGCTAGGGCAGTAAAAGGCGCTACAACATCGTAGTGGATAATTCAAAATGTCTCAAAACTTACGACAGACAGGTATATCGTGTGGTTACACTCAATTTGTATTGAGCTTGCTGTTGAGATTTCAAGGTTTAGTTTTTCGTCTTTTAAATATGTATTAAATAAAATACATATGGCGGTGTGCAAAAGTAAGTATACAGTTGAGAATCTGAGAAATACAAATGTTTGGTGTTTATTATTATTATTATTTTTTTATTATCTTTTGTTAGTTCGTATTCCTTATTTATGATTTAATTTGTACATGAAAATAAATGTTTTTTCTTCCCATTTTCTCCCTCTATGTCTTTTTTTCATAATAAGAACTGTATACCTACTTTTGCACCCCCCCTGTATAATAAAAAAAATTCCAAAAAAATAATTCTTTTCTGGAAATTCTTAATATTTCCGTTTAGCAGATAATTTTCTTTGAAGAAAATTTAAGGAAAATTCCTAAAGATTGTCAACGTTACTAGACATGACTCTAGATCTCCTCTCTGTGCCGCAACTAACATTTTATGTGACTATGCAAGTTTTTATGTTTGACCACCTACTTTTTGGAAAAAAAACAAATATAGAAAAAATATTCAGTTAACTTCTATCATTATGACTAAAATCTAAAACATTATGAAATCGGTCACCATGGCGCAAAATGGAAAATATAATACTGAATTATTTTTTTATTCAGAACCTCCCTTTGTCTTGTGCTCTGAACTTATGCACCTGCTGCACCTATCTAGTTTTGGCAACAGTTCCTCTGTTCATAAAGACTATAGAGTTCTGTCTGGTAAAAATATGTTATCTCTGAATACAATCTCAGAGTGCAAAAAGTAACACAATACTGTTGTGTGACTTTTGGTTTTTTATACACATTTTGTTGAATTTTTCTATAGGAAACCTGTAAATTTTTGTATTACAAATGCATTCTTGCAAAGGTATGGATTAACGGAACAGTTTACCGTTTGATGAAGCTAATTTCCTTAATCTCACTGCAACTGCCAAGTCTACAGAAATTTTAAAGTGTGAAGAAAAAAAGGAATACAGTACTGTATTCCTAATTTTTTAAATTACCCAACCAATGTTACAATATTTTATATGAAAATTTTGGGATATTTGGGCAAAAAATCGGGAGCTTTCGAATACTTCCAATGATTTGTTCCAAGTTATTCCATCTGGAGTTTCTTTTCAGTGTTGTTTCAACTACAGTGGTTTGGTAATTTATGTTGTGTGATCAAAATACATAAGTGAAGCAGAAGAAAATTGCAGTCTGTTACCAATAAAATATTAATACATCAGTAGATTTCCTCATACAACAGGGAAAAGTAATCTTTTGTAATTTTTTTCTTCTCGGCTGCCACGTGCTCTTCGCACACGTTTGATGCTATCTTCTTTCATGTTAGCATTGATTAACTCTTAATTATAATCACTTTATTATCATATCAATGTATAAACTTCATATTACAAGTGAAGATAAGCTAAAAAGTGTGTAATTTTGCAATTAAAATAAATAAATTTAAATATATTTATCTAATTTCAGAAAGGATAACGAAGATGAAATTAAAAATATAAAATTTGGAATATCTTATAATCAACAAGAGCAAGAATTTAATGACATCGATGAGAAAGTATATAAAAACCCGAAAAAATTTATACTTGACGAAGAAAAAAGTTTCAAAACTGTCGATAAATCAGTTCAGGATATTGATATAGAAAATTGGGAAGTAAAAACATCTAAAAAATCGAGTTCCGTGGATAAAACTGAAATGTTAAAAGCAACTAAATATCGTTACAATCCGGAAGAAAAAGTGGAAGAATTCCAAATAAAATATTCAGAAGATNCGCACACGTTTGATGCTATCTTCTTTCATGTTAGCATTGATTAACTCTTAATTATAATCACTTTATTATCATATCAATGTATAAACTTCATATTACAAGTGAAGATAAGCTAAAAAGTGTGTAATTTTGCAATTAAAATAAATAAATTTAAATATATTTAAAAATTTTTAAGCATCTTTACAAACAGAAATTAAAGAAAAAAATAAACAAATTTATAAATTAGCTTGTAACGTTGAACTTGCAAGTGATAAATCTAAGAAGCATATTGATGAATTAAGAAAAGAAATCGGTAAGAAAATTAATTCCAAATTTTTATTATTAAAATGATTTATCTTATAAGGAGATTTTAAAAGATTTTTTAGCTCACAAACACGAACAAAGAAGCGATATTGTTTTAACATTATGGACCAGTTACTTAGAAATGAAAGAAGCATATGATGAGATAAAAGTATCTTCTTATTGTTTAGATTTATAAATAACTAATTTAAACACAATACAAAATAGCCATACGGTTATAATTTATATAACACTGACTGAATCTTTTAAATTACTTCAAATGATGTTACATATATAGGGGAGATCGGGGCAAGATCGGCATGTTAAGCTTTACTTAAATTTTGTGTAATAAATACTGCTGTAAACTGAAAAAAAAGCTTTGCATATTGTCTATTGGAATGTTACCTTACTATAGAACTGGTTAAAATCAGTTTGGAAATAAAAATAATTAAAATAATTACAACTTTACAAGAAGAGAGAAATTGACGAAGTTGCCCCGGGTATAGGGGCAAGATCGGCAACTTCTCTCTTTTTGTAAAGTTGTAATTATTTTAATTATTTTTATTAAAGTTGCCCCTGGTATAGGGGCAACAGTAATGGGGCAAGATAGGCACGTATATAAAATTATGTTATTAACAATGTATAAGTTGGAATTCACTATTAAAACAAAGAAATACAAATCCAACACCCATTTAATATTATTACAACGAAATGCAAGTTCAAAGACATATATACATGAATAACAAATGCAAACATGTTTTCATTTATCATCTGTTTGATTTTTATCCTTTGCTTCTAATGTGGCTTTATGTTGCCGATCTTACCCCGCTAGTCATGATTTCGAAACATTAAGTACAACCCTGAGAACAGAATGCCAAGCCACGATCTGGCCACGTGAATAAGTTGAAGTTACATCCTTCTAACAGGAAAAGTAACTTTCGTTATCATGGAATTATAACAAAACCTGCCAATTCAATATAAATGGAAAAAAAATATTATATGGAATTGAACGAAAATGAAAATTTGCTTGATAATTCAACTACGCTTGTTGGAGAACAATAAAAACACTACACTCAACAAGCCACCAATAAAACTCAACTGCCTAACCTATAACCAAAGTCTCCTTTTAATTTGTTTTTTAAAAAAAGCGCTTGACAAACTTGCCCCGCATGCCGAAGTTGCCCCGATCTCCCCTATATAATGCTTATATAGAACAAATTTTAGAATTTTTGGGTCTAAATTTACATTTATAATTTTAGTATATTTCTGATGCTATCTAAAAAGTACCTTCAGGATCACGAATTGATCCTATTAATGTTAATTATTTATAAGACAGATTTTAAATTATAAAATTGTTTTTGAATAGAGTATTTGGAATTGACTATATAAACATTATTAAAGACGTTAAAGATTTATTAAGAATTGTTTTTAACATTCTATTTGCAAACTAAAATTTTTCTAAAATAAAATCTAACAAATTTTTTTCTAATTATTTAGATTGAGAATTAATTTTGATTATTAATTTTATTAAATATTTAATTAAGAAAAGATTTTTAGAATATTCTAAAAAAGATGACGATGATGCGCTCAAAATACTTTTGGAACAATTAAACTATTACAAATTAAAGTTTGAGAATTTTATAAATAATAAATTAAATTGTGGTGAGATTTTTTAGTTTTGAAATCGAAAAAAATTATTATTTTACTTCGAATTAAAATATTTAAATATGTCTTTTCCCTGAACAAAAAACAGTAAACGATAAAGAATTATTTAAGAAATTGGTAGAAATTCTGAAACAGAAAATCAAAGTTGAAAGTCATTTATACAATTTAATGGAAGACGTAAGTAAAAAAATCTAAGAAATAAATATACAGGTAAACCTCCTTTTGTGGTCACCTTAATTACGTGACTATCTCCCTTATATGGAAACACTGTATTTCCCTTAAAACTATATATAAGTTTTAATATAAATGAAATTTTATCAAGTCGTAATTGGGTGTGTGACCAGAAATTGTATATTCCCGTAGGTGGTGGCTACATAAAATGAGGTTTAACTGTTTATAATTATACTAATTATTTTAATATTGACATTTAATTTTATTAAAAAAAATTCAGAGAAATAGAATTATTTCCAAAAATCAAGTTCTAAAAAATCTTGACTTTTGGGTGTGTGACCAAATTGGACTGAAAAATTGTCGATTAGACAATTTTTCAGTCCAATTTACTTCTGCATTCTACAAACAGGCTTTAGAAAGAGCAAAAGCATTCTTCACGCTATAAATAATCGAAGAAAAAGGATGCAACATCTATTAAGATATTCAGAGTGTATCAAGGTATTATTAAGGAAACGATGGAGAAGAAAGCAGGAGGAAGATGAAGAAAAAGGAAACATTTTAGCAAAATTAAGCAACTGACACTAAATATATGTCAATGGTGGACTTGTTGCTGCCCACCAACTCTAGGGTTGAGGAGAGAAAAAGAAATGAAAATTGTAGCGTTGCATGACAAATTTTCAATGAAAAATTTGGTCATTGGTCAATTATTACAGATTTTAAAGTTTTGTAAAAACTTTTTGTATTTATGTATTTTGTCATCTACTTGTGAAAAAATTAAATAAAAATTTATTAACATAAATTCTTTGAATCTAAGCTTTGCTCCAATGGAAAATTTTCATGGCTTCAACACTCGGTTGGAACTGTTCCTAGTACTTCCGAGTTCAGATCGGTTCCGAATCGGAACTACATACTTGTAGAATATAAAATTATTATAAAAAATACGGTATTATAAAATTATTGATAACTGACACATGTAGGGAAAGACATCAAGTTGTGAAAGACTCAACCCGACATATCTATTCAAAAGTCTAATTTAAGAAGACAGGTTGGTGCTTTATCGGCTTTTATTTTTTTTTTTAACTCTTTCTATCTTGTCAGCAACCTGTCAATCCCATCATGGGTTTATCCAGACCAAGAACGGGGTGGCGGGTGTTATCCATTCTTTAATATTATTAGTCGTTTGCGATGTGAGTAAGTCATGATTTTGCACTACCTCAGCAATAAAATGTTTTCTTTCGTAGCATATAAATGAAATTAAATGGAAATTGGAAGTCTTATTTTTCTTCTAGGTTTCGAGTACTGATGTTACATACATTCGAACCGAAATTATGTTCTCAGTTACCGCTTTTCCTCAATTTATATTTGGTGCATCTGGGTGGCGAATTTATATTTTGTGCATCTACACAAGCAAACGAATGACGTTCAATATAAAACGGGCTGTTGGTTCAATATAAAATGGGCTCATTGGTTTCTTATCAAGCGGTATTAAAGCAAGTGGACAAGTAAACAAACCAACGGGCGCATTGCTTTTCCAGGCACAGCGCCCACTGTCTTGCTTACTTAACTACACTCCACCTTTAATACAGATTTAAACATTATTCATAGAATTTATAAAATATTAAAACAAAAGTACTTTTTAAATTTTACAATTATTTTTAACTATAAAATACTTTTAAAATAATTTTGGAATTTATAAAAATGTTTCATGAAAAATAATTTTCAGAGAGCGAAAAAGATAATTATATAATCAGACATTTAATTAAAATAAAGATGTCACTTTATCTGCAAAAGAACAAAAACTGTTATTATTGTTATAGTGTCACCTACATTCAGTCAAAGTCAGCACAAACTTTTACAGCTATTCTTATCATCTGATACAAAACGGAAATCACTATGTGATAATTTTTATTCCTTCATGAAATGCACTCAATTTATAACCACCTTGTATATGTAGATTGAAAATTGTGAGGATTAAAGGGAGCAGTTGTTACTCTGACTACACTCAATAAGATTGATTCATCACATTAGAAACATAAAAAGATTCTTTCAGTTTACAAATACTGTTAAAACTTCAGACTTATACGTATTCTCAACAATTTCAATGCATGTTGTAGTCTCAATAAAGAAAAGTAGTAGTAAAAAAAAAATGTTCTCAATCTTTGCAATTATGGTGTATATTAGCGATCTCACCTATCTAGCCGTCATTCGGGACCAACAGTGTTTAATGGTTTTATATACACGGCCTGTTAAATACAGGTAACCCCCTATAGCACGGGAGTTACGTTCCAGAAAATTGCCGTGTTATGCGAATCCGTGTTATTCGAAACAAAGAACTAGTGCGAAAGGGGGGGTTAGGTTCCAAAAATTAAAAAAACAAGTTGTTAAATCCTTATTTAAATCGGATTTATTATTCTTTTTTTTCATAGGTAAAATACTTATTTATTATTTAAGTAAATATTTTACCAGAGGATTATTCATTTTATATGATGATCTCAGCATGAGCATCATCAACTGGTAACAGTTTGTGGGTGCATTTGTTAATAGCGGTCGCTCTGCAACGGGAGTGCGCTGTTGTTTGTAGGCATTTAGGAAGCACGGTGAAAGAAAGATGGCAGCAACCGCACTATCGATAGTATCGTGTGGAGGAATCTATAATTCTAAAATGAGCTTTTAGAGGCAAAAGAAGGATCCCAATTGTAAAATTTAACCATTAAATGGATTATTTGTTGAAAGAGCATTCAAAGTAGCCACGAAAACAATTAGAATGCTCGCGTCGAGTTACGCGGAGGTATAAAAGAACGCACCCTTTATTACATTTTATGTTGTACGAGGGTTTTACCCAATTCCTGAACCGTGTTAGAGTGAACCCGTGCTATAAAAGCACCGTGCTATACGGGGGATGTTCCCAATTCTCGAACCGTGTTAGAGTGAATCCGTGCTATAGAAGTGCCATGTTATACGAGGGTTACCTGTATTTATTAATTTAAAAAAAACGCGATGGACCATGCTACAAACAATACTGTTTTCTAAAATTTTCTTATCTAAATTCTATTGATTTATACAGTATATGTGGCAAATATTTAAAAAAAATGTATTTTTTGTAATTACGCATTTCCAAATTATCTTCATAAATCGCGAAAAGTGTCATTATGATATTATAATTCGTAAATTACTCAGTGTTTTATCACTTTTTAATTCTTTAAACGTCTGATTCAAATGAAAGGTGTAGTTCGGCACGTCGAAATAAAAGATACGTCAAGGTTAGTTCGAACGTGATGGCACCTTTCTTTTAAAAACTCTCTAGTTTTTATAGGACCAGATTCCCCGGAAGTCTACATTAATTTTGACGAAGATTCAATCTTTTAAAATTTGGATCCTTTGACTATTTTTAGATCGGTAATTAAACGGTTCCGTAGCTACTTGGATCGTTTCAAATTAAATTTTCGACTATTCGATTTATCTCTTCCTCATCTTTCACGTCTTGTTCTGTGATGACTTATCAGAAGAACGGAAACGATGACCCGAAAATCTACCAAGCATCTGTTTCAAATTATGCAGCACTCATTGAAGTAGGACAGAGTAGAAAATGTGTTCGAGATTCAAAGACGAGGAATCGAGAAGCTGAGGGTTGGTTACCACTTGGGAAACAAAGCTCAGATTTTGGAGAGGCGCAAGGACTGTAGAACTGGGATGATAGAAGAAAATCAACAATTAATTAACATGGAAAGGTCAGAAGTGACAGATTTTCACAATGAATAAAAAACTAATATAGGAAGTTGTAATCGTTTCTAAATCTCTAAATCTGAAAACAGACCACTGTCACAGAAGCAAAAAAATAAAAAACAAAAGCACAAATAATATTGATTTGGATATTACTGGGCATAAAATTTCTGCAAAAACGCACAAAAATAATCTACAGAATCTGAGAACTATTTTTGATTTAAAATTGTAAATTTATATGAATTTCTGTATCCATAATATTTACAATCCAACCGGGGACACATTTCTGAATCAGTGAAAATGGGATCTTAAACTAATTTATTTTAAAAAAATTATTTAATTATTTATTGATCTATAAATTAGTAATATTATATCGACGTGTTAATAAAAGTGCTCTTTCTAATGATTGATTATTTAATTAAATACTGTATTAAAAACAGGCGAAATCGGGGACGTCTGATCACCCTATCTACAACTTCAACACTAAAATTTATCCATTTACCCCCTAATTACTTTCAATTTACTAATTAAATTTTACTTTTATTCAATTTATAATGATATAAAGAAAGAAAGTATTACATTTTTAATACTGGAAATCGTGGGCATAACCAAAAATGCTACAATCAACCTTAAATCGATTTAAATGACAGTCAGTTTTTAATATTTAAAATACTAATTATTCATATTAATTTTATGATTTTATTTACTTTTACATAATACAAATATATGAAATTATACGTGAAATCAAATATTTACTCATATGAAATTACATATTATAAAAGATAAACCCCTAAGGACAGATGATTCTTCCCTTGCAACATTCAGGATATTTGCCTTTAATGCTTTGAATAGGACAAATTTTTCCATCTTTTTCTATAGTTGATACACCACATCTAATCAATATAAGATATTTCTTGTATTAATCATGAATTAAAAATAAACATTCTTCTAAAAATATCAATATTTACCCCAAAATTTCAACGTATGCGTTTTCATCATAAATGGGCTGAAATGTTCCATTTTCTAACAGTTCATAGGTTACAGGATTTACAGGTGCACTGCATATCCAAGCCTCACATTTTTCTTCTTCGTAGTAAGTTTCTTCAGATTTGATTAATTTTCCTTTAATATCACATTTTCCTGCAATATTTAATAGCTCTTATCAAAATTAATTTGCTCTTTTCCATTAAATTACATATATATGACAATGATTAATTTTTGAAATATTTAGAGAAAGCAGTAAACTTAAAGTAATCAAATACAGTAGTAATATTTACAACTTACCCTCAACGTTAGGAACCACCATTCTTGCAGTGTAACTGTTAACTACAACCAAAGCAGACATCAGACAAATTAAAGTAAAGGAAATCATTTTCTAGAAAATAAATAATTAATTTTATTTTATATAAAGATTTAGTTTTACAATTTTCGGTATGAACTATAAATTCGTTTACAATTATGAAGAATTACAAAATTACACCGATACACGTAATTGTTGCTGAACACTACCTTTTTATTTTACTATGAAGAATTGCTTTTTATTCTACTCACTTACGAGTAAACAGTAGTAAACATGCACAAATTATTATCTGTATAGTTCTGTTCTATCATTCCCTCTACAAACGAGAGCATTTTAAATGTATTATAATTATTATAATTTTATATTTTCAAAGTAAAACAGGAATATATTTTGATATTTCAGGTTTAAGAAAATAAATAAAGGAAGGAAGGAAGGAGATGAAATTTACTGTTATTACCTGAAATTTTCCTTCCGTTCAATATCAATTACGGTATTTTAATTTGAAGGCTTATAACATAGGTATATATAAGCACTCCTCACTTAACGACCGAGGTTTGTTCCTGCGACTCGGTCGATAAACAACCGTTTTTATTTGTTTTAGATAAAGAAAAGGTCGAAAGGATATTCCAATTTAATAATTTGCATTTCACATTTTTTAAAACGAAAATAAAATCAGCAAAAATTATAAAAACGGTGTAATGTACAAAACAAAAAATGAACGGTCATTCATATTAATATTTTAGTCATCGAATCCTTCAAATGGGATGCACTATAAAGTACAAATTTAAAAACAAAATATGGAAATTACGGACGTGTAGTGAGTACTGATCAACTGCGGGAACTAGATTAATGAGAAAGATTAGAAAAGGGAATTTCCCTCTGATGGAAAGCCAGTCGTAAGTCCGAGCGGTCGTTAAGTGGGGGTGGCTGTAATTAAAACAAATTAGACACGTGTAATTACAAATTTTAATCTATATCGGATAAACTTTATTCTTGTAAATTAAACAATCCTTAAAATGATTTTGTTTTTATACAGAGCTACACAAAAATTTAAACATTTTACATTTTAATGTAAAATTAATCATAAGTGGATTAAATTATTGAGATAAGAAAACCCCCATTGGGCGAACTCCCAAGAGTAGTGCCTCCCGAGAGGACGTTCAATGGGAAACAGGATATCTCTTTAGGTGTTAAACACGTGAAGAAAACATAGAAAACTCTTCGTTGTCAATCCATCACTGAGGCGCAAATCTGCAATCAATTCCCATTGTTCAGTGCTTTTAAGTTTAAACCACTCGCCCACTGAAAGGGTATTACATAAATGAATGTGCATTTTCAACAATAAATTTACAATTAACCATCATTGCATGATTAAGCTGTAAATATTATTTATTTAAGTTAATTACTTCAATAAATGTATTCATAAAATAAAATTTTATTCTTTAAAAATACAATAAAACTAATGCTCACGACTTTATACGATCCGGAAGCAATTTGTTATGAAGACAATTTTTCGAATCGAAATTTTAAGAATACTCTTCGTAAACCATTTAAAAAGTTTTTGTCTTAAAAGAAATTCAGCTCGAAATACCTATAAACTATATCTGTATATCCTCCGAATAAACTTATTAATGTGAAAAGCAGAGTAAACGTGATCCTCTTACTAGCTTAATTGGTTAGATATAAACATATTAGGCAAACACATGCTTTAAATCATACCAGTGTCTAGAAAACATTTCTTTTTTCTCAATTTTTTTCTATTTTATTATATATGTATTTTTATATTGTATTCTCACAACATTCTCTGTTACTCTACAAATCTTTTTCATCTAAACCAAATTTGGTTCTTATAAATTTTTATAATTATATTCTTATCATTCACCATTAAAATTTTATTTTAATATTTCACTAAGCAGAATAATACATATAAATCTTAAAATCATATTCGGTTATTATCGTATCGAATTTACAGACAGGATGAAGCAAGAGTAGGTGGACAGTAAATGATAGCGCTTGACAACGTAAGTGATGACGACAAGGAGACAGAAAATTTATTTTTTTTATTTAATAACAAATTTTTATTCAAACATATCAGTTATTTTAATAAAAAATAAATTTTCTGACTTCATCCTTTTTAATGTCAATGTTTTTAGGTTGTTTGACTGTTAAGAAGGTTACTCGTTATTGCTTACCTCTTTCAGGCCTTTTACGTTGTATTTCTAACACATTTTCGAACAAGAACGTTAATGTCTATTAGAATAATATTTAAATAACATCGGAGGATAGAAAACATTAGTAATATTTTATGAAAATAAAAATAAGCAGTTAATTTTTTTAACATAGATTCACCTTTGTTGGTAAGTATACGCGAATGAAAAATTGTAGTGAACTTGTGATGAATAAAAATGATAAAAATTTAATTTAGCTTTAGGGCAAATACGAATCTAATTTATTTATTTATTATTAAATTATTTTAATATAAAGTACAACTGAAACTATATTCTGTATATAAATGCATAAACACATAGCCTATTCGTACATACATACATACACACACAAATATACAGTTTTTAGCTTGTATATTGCTGAGATTATAAATAGGAACTTACCAAACTGGATAGCTTGTACTACTGCCAAGCTGATTTGAATAAAATAAGCATCGCATTGACTATAAAGTTTAAAGTTAATCATCTTATGATTTCATTTCTAAAATTGTAGTCATACAACATTTCACAATTGAACTTTAACTTTTATTATTTATTTTTCTGAGAAGCAACCATTTCTTCAATTTTTTATTATATTTTGAATACAATTAGTAAAGTTTGAATAAATTTTGAATATAGTTTAACAGGAATTAATATTATTAATTAAAATCTTGCATTACTTTTCCTAAAATACTTTGTATTTTAATTTATATTATATAAAAAAGTTACTAATTTTTGTCAAATAAGATATTAATTTTTTTTAGTGTTAGTATCAGTGTATTTTATCTATAATTTTTTTTTATAAATTAATATTTGGTAATATAATATAAGAATGTAAACTCAAATAAATTTGCACATGTTTCGAATAATTACGTCATTATGGCTTAATGGTTTCCAGAGAGTCAATCTAACAACTTTAAATATAAAAATTTAAATAATCAAATAATCGAGGAATTAAGTATTTATACTATTATATTTTCACTCTCATTAAAATAAAACAAAATTCGCAATTAATTATGAAATATGTTATATTTTATCGACTTTATTGGGCTGCAATTTAAAAAAAAATTTAAAAATTTCCACTGTCATCCATTCGTCTGTCTCTTGCATTTTTTTAATAATGCAGATCAGATTCAATTCTTATTTTTTTGTACAGTATATTGGTTAACTCAGTTAGGGATGAGATCTATTCTTTATACCCATTTGGAGTAATAACTTTTAATAAATCGTTTAAAATCGACCTCTGGAGATCGATATCGACCACTTTGAAGACCTCTGTTGTACACGGACGACCGGAAGACTATAATCCTTTATAATGTGCAAGGATTATAAAGGATTTTGGGATTAAACGTCGGTGACTATTGTCACATGAGAGTGCATTAATAAAGATATTTCAAGAAACATCTGTCGGGTGGATAAAGTGTAGGGGAAAAGTTTTTACGACCATTAAGGGATCAGCCTGCTCCTCTGAGATCCTGGAATCGAATTTAGGTGGTGGTGGTGGTCCCTCGCCTCAACGTGGGTATAATTAAAAAGCCCCGTTAGTGCCTACAGGGTAGAAATGTTAAAATAAAAAAAGCATAGTGTAGAGCAGTGATAAGCAACTTTTTCAGGATGCATTGAGCTTTCGGCGGGCCACATACATTTTTTTTCTTGCGGAGTTGCAAGCATTAAATCTGCCAAGTACCAATATAATCCGTAACGGCCAGTACTCTGTGTACTAAAATAATATTCTAACAAGCAATTATTTATTGACATCGTCAAAATGTTAGACTGCAATTTTAAATCAATTTTAAGTGTTAAAATCACGTGACTTCCGGTTCAGACCAGAAGTTAATCGGGTCTCCGATCCCTAAGTTTTTCATATCTGGTCTCAATTGTCGTCTATGTAACTTCGTTTTCGAGTTTAGCGGACGGACGACATACATCAGTGGGAATGTATAGGTCTGCAATTTGAAAATTGCGGCTGAACTTATAATGAATGAAAATTATTAAAAATTTAATCTTTTCTCATCTTTTCGCTAGTCACGTTTAGTTTCAATGTTCTTCGTTATGAATATCGGCTTAATTATAGTTGCATAATGGCATGAGACAAAACAGAAAAATAAAATTACGTTGCCAAATCTTAGTACCCCATATTTGGACCTCGCATGACACAATTATAAAAAGTTAGTCTGTTAAAATTAATTGTTTTAGGTTGTATTAAGTGTGTGCTCTCATTATTTCTTGATGCCGAATCTTCAATTACAAATACAGAATAGAAGAACAGGATAACCTTTCGCTACCATTCGTCTGTATGTACGGGATTGAAACGTTCATAAAATCAGAAATTCAATATTAAAAACATCAACAGTAATTATTTTTTTGTTAGGTCGAATTGTCGTTGTTGATACGTTGTTTCAAGGCTGTAACGTTTTTGGTAATGCACGCTATTTCCGTTAAAAATGTAATGAATTTTAAGGGAAAATCGTTCTTCAAAAATTCTCCAAACGGAAGCAGATAGAAGCAGTTTTTTGCGTTAGAATTTCATTTAGTTCTTCTTTCAATGATTTCTTACTCATTTTGATATATAAATTATTCACACATTTTATTACAATATATTCACGCTAGTGTAAAAGTTTTCGAAGATCGGCAGCGGTGCAAGTGAAAAAAAAATAATAACAACATATGTCTAAATTGAATACTTTATGACTTAACGGTACTGTACATGAATACATTTATTCAATAGTATATTATGCAATTAGTTTATAATATAAGTGATTATGGCATAAATGGAAGTTTGGCGTGTGCCAAACTTCCATATGCATCCGGTAAAAAATGCGAATACATAAAAATTCATTGCAAAACGCAAAGAATCTTTCGCTCGCGCGTATAAGACGACCTAGGAACTTGAAGCTGTGATAAATAAATAAAAACCTCATTTTATTTGCGAGTAAATACGGTATATCGTTTTAAATAATACAATAGAATCTATATTTGTATGAAATTTAATGCTTAACCTTTGTAATTTTATAAATAAATTTTTTCTGATAGCTGAACAGCCCACGCTAATACAGCTTCAGGAGGGCAATTTTGATCAATCGCGATTTTTCCTCATATATAAAAGTCGGAAAAGTAAGAACGTAAAGATAGTTATTAAAAACAGGCATTTCCTCACTTACGAACAGGTTAGATTTCTGAGATTTTGTCGAAGCCTCAGAAGTCTGCTTTGTTGAAGGTCAGTAACTTAAATTAAATAAAGTAAATTCAAATTACTTGAGCTCTAATAAACTAAAGTGGTGCGTTTGTGTATAAGTGATATAAATAATTCATATTAATGTTATAAAATGTCATGCTTTACATTATATATTATTGCTAATTTTCATTTAATTTATTCAAGTTTTTAAGATAATCTTTAAATTTAACCACCCAACTCGATTATATTATAAGAAAACCAAAATTATATGAGCAATAACACCGGGTTATTTCATTTTAAATAAAATTTTCTTTAAGTCAAAAATTTATCTATAATTACCCATATTTAGTTCAAATTAACTTTTTAATTTAGAAATAGCGAGAGAAATATTGGGCAGGTTTCTAAAGGCAATTAGGGGAAGGTGGGGCAAAATGAGAACGTTAAGGTTTGAAAAGTCATAAGATGGCAACCACTTCGATGAGAACAATAATTTTTTTATTCTCAGCAACTACAACATGTGGTAATATATAATACAAAATTTAATTTTTTAAAAACGTTTTTAAAAACAAGAAACTTTAATATTTTAAAATTATATGTATTTTATAGGTGCAAAGCAAAATTTTCTAGATACATCAACTAATGTAGCTAGGTGAGTTGTTATCTTCATCTTACCATTAAACTGTCGTTTTCTTCAATATTGGCACAAAAACAGTGTGCCCATTTATCACAATGGCTACATTTAGCCCAACTGTCTGTAGATACAGAATATAACCCTCCACAATAGAGGCATTCTGTGTCATTTGTCTTATGTTTCTCGTTAGGCCTACCNAAAATTTTCTTTAAGTCAAAAATTTATCTATAATTACCCATATTTAGTTCAAATTAACTTTTTAATTTAGAAATAGCGAGAGAAATATTGGGCAGGTTTCTAAAGGCAATTAGGGGAAGGTGGGGCAAAATGAGAACGTTAAGGTTTGAAAAGTCATAAGATGGCAACCACTTAGATGAGAACAATAATTTTTTTATTCTCAGCAACTACAACATTTGGTAATATATAATACAAAATTTAATTTTTTAAAAACGTTTTTAAAAACAAGAAACTTTAATATTTTAAAATTATATGTAAATGCACCATCTTGCCCCACCCACGGGGTAAGATGGGGATATTACTTTTATATACAAGAAAGACAAATTAAAATGATTAAACTGTCGTTTTCTTCAATATTGGCACAAAAACAGTGTGCCCATTTATCACAATGGCTACATTTAGCCCAACTGTCTGTAGATACAGAATATAACCCTCCACAATAGAGGCATTCTGTGTCATTTGTCTTATGTTTCTCGTTAGGCCTACCCTTGCTGAAGGGGCCTGTTTGTCGTGTCTGCAGCAATAAAGTCTGCTCCAAAAATTCTTCTGAATTCATAGGCTATATTCGTGGTCAACCATCTTGTCCCCAACATACACTTTTCATACTGACTGCAAACACAGGTAAACTTCATTTCAAAACTAAACAATTACAGTCTTAAAAGTTACTTCGAATACCATAATATCTTTATGTAAAAGGTAATGTAAAAGTTCATAATGATACTTACTTTGTAGAAACTTTTTAGCAGGCATAAAATTAGATAAAGTATTGTTGAAACATGAAAACGTATCTTGCTTCCAAATAAAGAGAGCGATTTGGACGTTCTCTTATCCCATGATCCCTTTTGAGGTTGACATTTAGTTACCCAAATAATAGCTTGATAAAATCACATTAATCACAAATAAACAGACGTCCCCGTCTTACCCCATGATCCTATCTTGCACCACCTTCCCTTATCATGCCACTTTAAATGCAAATTAAGACTTAATGTTAATTGCTTTTCTGATGTAAATGAAAATTATTAATTTAAACAACTATTATTGCAACCTGCTGAACGGTACTGTACATGAATACATTTATTCAATAGTATATTATGCAATTAGTTTATAATATAAGTGATTATGGCATAAATGGAAGTTTGGCGTGTGCCAAACTTCCATATGCATCCGGTAAAAAATGCGAATACATAAAAATTCATTGCAAAACGCAAAGAATCTTTCGCTCGCGCGTATAAGACGACCTAGGAACTTGAAGCTGTGATAAATAAATAAAAACCTTATTTTATTTGCGAGTAAATACGGTATATCGTTTTAAATAATACAATAGAATCTATATTTGTATGAAATTTAATGCTTAACCTTTGTAATTTTATAAATAAATTTTTTCTGATAGCTGAACAGCCCACGCTAATACAGCTTCAGGAGGGCAATTTTGATCAATCGCGATTTTTCCTCATATATAAAAGTCGGAAAAGTAAGAACGTAAAGATAGTTATTAAAAACAGGCATTTCCTCACTTACGAACAGGTTAGATTTCTGAGATTTTGTCGAAGCCTCAGAAGTCTGCTTTGTTGAAGGTCAGTAACTTAAATTAAATAAAGTAAATTCAAATTACTTGAGCTCTAATAAACTAAAGTGGTGCGTTTGTGTATAAGTGATATAAATAATTCATATTAATGTTATAAAATGTCATGCTTTACATTATATATTATTGCTAATTTTCATTTAATTTATTCAAGTTTTTAAGATAATCTTTAAATTTAACCACCCAACTCGATTATATTATAAGAAAACCAAAATTATATGAGCAATAACACCGGGTTATTTCATTTTAAATAAAATTTTCTTTAAGTCAAAAATTTATCTATAATTANATAAACACAGTTAACAGATAAGTGTAACTCCATCACTCTTCCATCTAGTTTAGTACTGTTATCTTTGAAAGGAAGCTCATATCCCTTCTTAGAGAAGCACCAATTAACCTCGGAGACAACACGAACTGCACTTAGCACAGAGGCACCATAAATCATACCTAGGAGTATCAATTCACGAATTGTGAATGTTTGTGGTAGTTCTTGTTAAAATCTTTTAGGTGCACTGTAGAAACACTAGGTGCACGATTGTAAATATTTATGGAAGTTCTTGTAGAAGCACTAGACAAAACCATAGACAAAACCATAGACAATAACCATAGACAAAAAGAATTAGGTTAAGTAGCAAGATGGTGATAGAATGTTTACAAACAGTTAAATCACTTGATTTTTTCCGTGGAAATTTGTGCCGCGAAATTTAATTTTAGGTTCAAGTGTGCCGTTAGATAAAAAAAGGTTAAAAAAACTGATCTAGATATTCCAGCGGTTCAATAACGAACTTGTCATAAAACTGAGATCTTGTTGGCCCGTGGATTAACTTGTAATGAATAATTTAAACTGAATTCATACTATCAAATCAACGTGACGTTCTGTTCTCTCATGGTTGGAACTATTTGCAAACTTCTTTGCCCTTACCTACTGTAGCCATTGTTTCTTCTAAATCGTAAGATGAAGATTGAAACCTCACTCATCGATAAATATTAATTTCAGTTTATCATTAGGTACATATACAGTGAAATCGTGTATTGCAAATCAACTGTATTTTGTACATTAACTATATCTAATATTTTATACCTTCTTTTGAGAGTAATACCTAGCCTTATAGTTAAGATTTATGTATAGATGCTAGAGACAATCTCATGTGATGTTCCTCATAGATGAAATTAGCTTTCAACGTTATATGCCCATTTTCCTCAATTATCCCTTCAATATTCTTGACTATTGTAAATGTTATTTTTTTAAGTGTTGAATTGACAAGTATTCCTATATTTGGCAACTATGTGTGGAACTGTATTGTAATTTAAGGACAGCTGTTGGATAGTTTCTTTAATATTTAGTCTATTTTCATCAGTTAAATTCATCAATGTCGTGTTCTCATTACTAATTTTATTGCACCATACTTCCTACATAGAATCAGTTAGTCCATTGCCTTCCAATGCTAGCGAGAAATGAAATAAAATCCGTTGACACGTGTTTTAATAAACGCGGGAACTTATGAAATGTCTTATTAAGTAGATGAAATATGTTGATATTTTAAATTGATGAAATGTAGCCTATATCAAAATTGTACTAAGATATTGTAAATTACTTTTATCTACATTTTAAAAAACGCGGTATGTAAATGAACTTGATGATTTTGCAGATAAAATACGTCGAAAGTGCTTGAACTCTGTTGATAAATGACAAAAAATGCTTTAAAATTGCATAATAGTTAATAATTACTGTATAATAAAAAATATAAGTGGATCAATTAATGAAAGTAATACAGCCTTGAATAAAAAAAAATAAAACTAATTGTTGTAGATATAATAAAACTTGCTTTTTGTTTACTTTGCTTCTTATTATATTAAAATCATCATATTATTCTTTCTTCTTATATGTAATAATTGGCTAAAAATAAATTATTTAAAGTAAAATGCTAAATGATTGAAAAATTTGTTGTTCTTAACTATGATGAAAAAACTGCTAAAATAATGCTGAACTATATTTAAGAATTGATTAAGAATAATTTTTATTTTCCAAATAATGAAAAACTTTTGTTAAATTTAGAATATTAATTTAGAATCAGGAACACATTAAATGAAACACATTCAAACCTCTGAATAATTGCCACCGACGCGACGGGAAGATAAAAAGAAGGTCGTTGTTCGGAGGTGCTGTAATTGGAAGTTTGATTTTACATATTTATATCGTATGTGAGAAGTTAATATTAGCTGAGAGTGAGCAGAAATGAACGCCATTGCGAAATAAATCATAATTTCATCCAATAATTTACAGCAATATGAATGAAGTAGCAATGTAAGAATATCTAAAAACATTGGATATAGGCGAATACTAGAAGTATTCCAAATCTTGAATATTAGGTCGATGATAAATTCGAATACTACGAATATCTCCAATATCGCGCCATACGTAGAAGTTATAATTGTGGATCCAGAGGTACCCAAAGAGGAGGACAAACTAAAATATTAAAAAATATATTTGAATAACTAANTTTTTGAGTCAAACGTTGTGTCTTATATGCCGTAAAATACAGCAATTAATATACATTCTGTACAAAACCAATTCATTTATTCTTGCTGTCTTAATTCCAGATTCAAATAAACATGTTCGGGACAATGAATGCCTTTAGTTCTTCTGTATACTGGTTCGCTCTGGTAAAAAGCATTTTATAATTTTATAAATCATTACTCTTTAATTGAATAAATTATATGTAATATTTACCTTTGTATTAACTCCCGGTTTAAATCGAATTTTCCGCATCAAATAGATAATTGCCATTTTAATTTCCATTAAAGCGAATCTCATTCCTAAACAACCTCGAGGACCAATACCAAATGGTAAATTTGCATATTGGTGTATTTTTTCCTTATTTTCTGGGAGAAATCTGTAAAAATGTATTTATTTTTCGTAGCATTCTCTTGTCAGACTTTATTTTATTATTATTAACTCACCTGTCTGGATCGAATTTTTCTGGATTAGGAAAATAATTTGGATCGTGGCAGAGAACGTAAGTAGGTATAGCGATTAAAGTCGATTTAGGAATTACAATATTAGTGTCTTTTATCTTATAATCCTCTACACTCCTTCTCTCTAATCTATTTATAAAACAAAAGATATATAAATAAATTTAGCTAATTGTAACCTTTCTGGTTATGCATGCGATCTCCAGCAGATGCCATTAAAAATTTAATGCTTTTTTTACAAGAAAAACCTTTTCCGAAAATGAACGTAGATAGGACCAAACAAGTTTTAGCGTTAGAATCCTAATTAATTCTTCTACTAATGCATGGTTCAGAATTTTGAAAATCGTAGAAAATTCGTAAAAACTTAAAAAATTCAATTTTCCACGGTCTGCTCCCTTTCAAACTTTTGTTTCCACACGTTTCAAAAGGTTCTGGAAGTCCTCAGTTGTTAACTGATAGATGATGTTCTAAATACTTTAGCAAGTTCTGCAATGAAATTGGCTTTCACCTTTTCTCATACACTTTTTCCTTTACCCAGTACCAAACTAATTAACTAGGAAAAAATAACAAACTAATTGTAGAATTCTGTCGGATGGCAGTTAAGTTTAAAATAAAATTGAATATATAGTCTGTTTAAAAAGGAATAGCCATTTATTCACTTTCAATAGAATAAATCGTTCAATTGATCTCACAAGTCAGTGGAGATATATTAGATACATTGTTTTCACAATGAATGCACAGTACCATAACCCATGTTGGTTAAAAGTAACAATTGTATCTCGAGGGTAATGGGACTCTGCCATATCTGGACAAAACACGTAATTTCCACTTAGTACTTCATCAAGAATGAGAATAGTCTCTCCTTAATGCATGTCGTACTATAAACATATTTCCGTGTTAATTAAAAAGTGTAGACGATGCGAAGCCAAATCGTCCGTAGGGCTTATAGATAACATACAAAAACCTTCGTCGGAAACTTTGAGTGATGTTTAAGCTTCACTTCTGGCATAAATAAGTTTCTACTTAGCACTTATTTTTCTCACACTCAGAGTCATCCGGTGTAAAATATAATTCGTTTTCATAGCAACCTGAATTGTTTTCCGGCCGCAAGTCTTTGTGCAATCGTCGGAATAATTTCGTTTGATTTTCTAGCTGCTTCACAGTGTATTTTGGTGAAGAATTCCTCTTTGAAATATTTTGTACTTTCGACCCAAAAAGACTGCCCCTTTTTACTAACAGCAGCGTCAGCTAGCTCCTTTCGTTACTTTAATTCTTTTCTTTCATTTTCTTCAGTGTTTGTTCCCCATTCTCTTAATCACATATCACCCTTTTTTGAATGTATTATAAAAACTAAAGTCTTGAATATATAACAAAGATTGTACAATATTCGAATAAAATTAAATAAAAAGGTAAAATAATTAAGAAATGAAATATAAATTTGAAAATTTAAATAATTTCTGTAAACATTAAAAGCTTAGCTTTTAGTATAGTAATCTAAATAATGTTTTACATCTAATTATTCACAATAAAATAAATAACGAATTAATATTAAAGTATACCTCGGATTAGGCGAATAGAATCTGAGAACTTCCTGAACAACAGTTTCAAGATACTTCATTCCAAATACTGTATCATAATCTAGTTCTTCCTAAGAAATTGGACATTAAGAAATTAAACATTTAAAAAATCTGTCGAAATAAATCATTATATTATTCTAATTATTAACTTTGCTAATTAACTAGAGACATACATTGTCTTTTACAGTTTCCTTTATTTCTTGATACAGTTTTTCTTGAACCGTCTGGTTAATTGCTAGTTCGTGAGCGAGAAAAGAAAGTGTAGCCATAGTTGTGAAGTAGCCAGAGATGAAAAACATGACGCATTGAGCCACGATATCATCCATTTCCAATACTAAATTTAAAATTTCGAATTGTATTTTGTAAAAGAATTTCTAGTACAATTATAACTAATATTATAAAACTAATAGTTACTGAAACTTTTAGTTTCTGTCGTTCTGTGAAATATGTATTACATTTCAATTGTTATACGTATTATATATAGAAAAAGTATATATATTACAGATATTTATTTAACTAGCATTTAAAGACAACAAAATTCTTATTCTTCTTTGGTTTTAAACGTATCAGTTATTTTATTAAAAATAAATTATCTATCTTTTTGTCTTTGTCCCTTAAATTCTAAATGTTTTAAGTTAATGTAATTATTTTTTTCAGTTTTAAAAAGTTACAGTTGTTGTTTGCCACCTTCAGATCTTTTAACTTTGTATAATATAAACTAATTCAGCAGTTTGTCTATTTCCCTGTGACATCGATCTATGCAATAACGCAATACAAAAATTCGACATGTCTCAAGAGATTTTAGAAAATTAAGTTTATTAAAGAAGCCTGAAAGGTTCAAATAATCTCTAATCTTATATTATATCTGACATAATTGCATTATTTTATTTAAATAAAACAGTAATTAATATAATCAAGTATAGAGTATTTTCAAAAGATACAATTAAGTAAAGAATACTTTTGTTATACAAAGAAATATTAAATCATTCTTTAATATGTTAATTTATTTCAAAGAACGTCATTTTTATTGTTTATTTTTGATTTATTTAGTGATAACAAAATTGGGACTTACTTTTCTTCTGAGAACTATTCTCATTATCGTTTTCCGCATCTAACATCAATTGTAAAAAGTCTTTACTTTTCGAATCCTAATTAAATAGCAGCCTATTATAAACTTTTTCAGCGTAAATGTTTAAAAATTAATACGATTGAATACATATAATAGACGTAATACTTGCTTTAGATTGTTTTCTATTGTTGATCACCTGCATAATTGCGTTCTTGAAAAATAAAGACATGGAAGGGTCGAAAACAGAAAGACGAATGAGTCGTGCGAAACGAGGTAACATAACTAGAATTCAATTGAAATGACTCTTAAACATATTACACTGAAACTTATTTAATAAAAAGTATGATATTAATTCATAAAGAAAATTAAATTATAAAATTTTTAAGCCATTGAATACATATAATAGACGTAATACTTGCTTTAGATTGTTTTCTATTGTTGATCACCTGCATAATTGCGTTCTTGAAAAATAAAGACATGGAAGGGTCGAAAACGGAAAGACGAATGAGTCGTGCGAAACGAGGTAACATAACTAGAATTCAATTGAAATGACTCTTAAACATATTACACTGAAACTTATTTAATAAAAAAGTATAATATTAATTCGTAAAATAAATATAAATATTCAGTATATAATTTTATAAATGTATAATATGAAGAATAATTTAATCATATTTGTCTACAGTAGAAACTGTGAAAAATACATCCTATTTAATGAGTATTTTCTTTTCATCGGTCGCACGTCTTTTTATTGTGATCTGAACAAAATGTCATAGTTCGGTGACATATTTTTGTTTGTCTATTTTTATAGAGTTATATTTGATTTACTTTTTAAAAATATTATTTCAATTTACGACGTTGAACTTTCATGATAAAAGAAATAACAAGACTACTTTGTGACAGTTTTCCCAAGCTATTAGACATTATGCATGGTAATGTTTTCAATAACTAAAAATATAAATGCAATATAACACTTGTTATGCTAGTTATATAGCAATACAAGCTTCGTTATGTTTTACAATTATATACATTTTATTATAATCCGCGACATAACTAATACATTTTATATTATAATTATTAATACCCACTTGCTATTAAGAATCTCCACGCGGCAGAGTTTAAGATTTGGTCAGCAGCTTTAACAAAAGGATTATTCGGATCGTTACAAGAATCCAGGTTCATTCCAAAAGCGCATCTGGCCACGACGTCAATAGTGTAAGCACCAAAAAACCTGTAAATGAGCCATTTCTTTTAATTATGTACATCATTTATTGGCATTTTACATTCTAAATTTTTAATAAAAACTAATCAATAATTTGAAAATCAAATGACATTCCTTAATCATTTTTATGTAATCTTTAATTAAACGATAGCATTGTAAAACTGTTTCTTAGAATGTGTACATAAAATAATTTTGCAATTTTCTGAATTATTTGGCATTGTTCTTCGTTGTTTTAAGTATTTTTGATAGTCGGCATGCCTGCACTTACTTGTTAACATCTACTTCTTTTTTGGTTTTAGCTCCTTCCACAAGATTATTTTCGAGTGTTTTACAACAATCGTTAATTGATTTGGACATCTGAAAATGAATTGCTTATTTCAATTGTCTTTCAATGGTGAGTTACAAATCATAGAAATTTAGAGCCACTTACCAATCTCATTTTCCCTGAAGTAAAGGTAGGAGTTATAAGATTTCTAACTTCTTTCCATCTTTCTGCACGCAGTACAAAAAGCATTTTATCTATAATTGGATCTCCAAATTGAATGTCCTGAAAGAGAGATTCCAGAATAACTTATTAAATAATTCTTGTCAAATTCGTAATCGAAAATATTAAATGAAAAATATATGTTCTTACCCTAATCTCAGAAAATACATGGAAATCCTTGACTAGAATATCTTTCAATAGATCTGGATCTGCGATTATAAGTACCGGATTTGTACCTTCGTATATCCTATATTTGTATAAATTATATATTTTATATTATGTAAATATTAAAAGATTATCATTTTAATTATCTGAAAAAATATCTTTACCCAAATATTTTGCCATATTTGTTATACCAAACTTGTTCTGCTTTTCCTTGATGCTAAAAAAATACAATTTATTAAGTTTAAATTCACGTTATTTGCTTCTGTTTTGTAAGAATAATTACATATTTGCGTGGCGTAGAAGATATATTAAACAGAAAATTTAAATTTAATTCTTTGTAATAACAAAAATTCATACGAAGAGAATTATCATAATCTGGAAATTTAGCATAATATTTTTTTTATGAATGCTTTAATATGAATAAAATATATCTGGAATATTCTTTTCAAAAAAGTATATTATTCATTATAATGTTTAATAAGAAACTGTATTTCTAGAATGAATGCTGCTTACAGAATTCAAGTCAAATCTGAAAGAACCTGTGAGTGGTATGGGAGGTACTTCTGGAATTCCAAGACGTTTCCAGTAACCAAAATTTCTTGTAAGATATCTAGAACATTTAAAATTTCACTTTTAATGAAATTGAAAGTATAATTATGCAAATTTATATCGTAATATTTATTTTATTTTAATTCAATAGAGTCTCTAGTAACTGTGGATCCAAATAATCTGAATTGAAAAAGAATATTTTGTCAATAAAGAGAAGAGTAGTATAGTACATAGTACAGTACATTTCGTTTCACAAATATTAATTTAATTGGTTGATGAGAGATACTCGAATACAGTTCTAAAAATTTTTTAAAATTTTCTCTGCTGACTTTTCATAACAATAGGAAGTTTTATAAATTAAAGAAATTTTAATTTGTAATTGTAGGTTTACGTTTGTTTCAATTTACAGTTGCAAATAAAATTAAGTATTTTACTATATAATTTATAAGTCATTAGGTCTAACCTAAAAATAAATAACTGAGTAATAGTTATTAAAGCAATCCTATTTAACGCTGCCTGGAGAGATATGTAACAGTACAAACTCAGCCAGATTTTGTAAACCGACGATTATGGACATGCTGAAGCGTTTTCCGTGAAAAAATAATTAAGTTCACAAACCCACCACTACAGGAGTTTGTAGCGCTGCGAACGACAAAACCAATACGTAATATATATATAATGAACACAGTTCTATTGGCAATTTTTAGGTATAGAACGATCTATGACATGTGAAACCATTCGTATTATTGGAGATCAGCAACGATGATCACGATTGTTCTTGAACGTGCCTTTGTTATAAGGTAGTTTAATGCCAATGCTGTGACTGCGGTTCGACGGTTATGACACTAAGAATTTGAGAAACTTTTTTACGCTCGCAGCGCCAGAAATTCTGCAGTGATAGGCTTTGAATTAAATTTTTTATTTTCGAAAATCTCTTCAGCATGTCCGTAAAACAGTCAGCATACAAAATTTGATGAGGTTGAATCGTTATATCTCCTTCCAGGCGTTAAATAGGTGTACTGTACTTTAATCACGATCACTCTGCATATTATAAATTATTGTACAGTATATTGGTAATTCCAAATTCAGCTTATTTAATAAAAGTTTACCAAGATTTATGATTCTATCTTTCTAAAATAATTTCTAGCAATTATTTTTAGAACATAAATAAATATGTATTTGATTAAAAAAATTAGAAAACATGGTTTTATTATTGAAAATTTTATAAAAATATTTCATAATTGTAGACGAGAATTATTCTGTCGTTCTCTCATTTACTATTTGTCCTTTTCTTTTATAATACACTAAATATTTCAATAGAATTACCAGTTAGATATTCTGGATGGCTTCTACCGGTTCGTTCACTTAATTTTTAGTTGCAAACAATCACCATTCAATTCTCCATTCAACTTTTTATTAACTTTTCTTAGAGAATTATCCTGTTCATTTTTATCATTTATATTTTTATATGCACAGATATTTATAACTTAACAAATGCAGTTTTATTGGAAAAAATTATATTCATTTACAGCATTGGATGAAGTGAAGTTTTCTGGAATAGGTTTCAAATATCAAATTCTATTGACTGTTGAACACAAGATTGTGTTATTAATTAAACACTTGGCTTTTTTCCATCTTTATTTACTTGACATAAACACTTAAAACAATCGGCTTTTTAAAGCTGATTGTATTCACTTTGGTTATGCACACAATCTCCAGCATATAGCGTGATAAACGTAATGCTTTTTGTATAAGAAAATCCTTCTAAAAATTATCGGAAACGGAAGCAGATAGAACTAAACAGTATTTTACGTTATTAGGAAAATAATTACATTTTAAATGTCATCGTGTACATAACTAAAGAGGTTACAATATTCCAAAAACGCTATGAAAGTAGAATTTTTAAAAAGAAATAAAATACAATCGACAAAAAATTTATGATTATTACATAACTTTCTTCATATTAAGTTTTAAAGCTATATATGCAATTTCTTTTTGTAACTATGGAAGCTTGATAGTGTTCATAGTTACAATAAAACTAGCAGAAAATGAACATTCAAATGTCCTGGACGCAAATGTGAATAAATCTATTTAAAATATATAATATAATTTAAAATATTTAAAATAATATAGATATAATTAGATGAAATCGGGGGCGCTTCCGACGTTCGTCAGTGTTGGTGAGTTTTTGAGAGAGCTGTTTTTGTTGAATTATAGCGCTTTGGATATGTTTGCTTTTACAAAGTGTTTGATTCTTTATCTTGGTTTCATCAAAGAATTTGATATATATTTATTATTACGTGCTTTATTGGTAATTGGAGGTATTGAATCTAATCCTGGACCGATGTCTCGTACTCCACCTTCCTCCCCTATTTCAAAGTCGTCCATATCAGTTGTTGGAAAACGTCAAAGATCTCCTAGTGAACCGACTTTGAAATCTCAGCGATTGGAAAAGTTTTTTCTTCCTTCGGGTTCTTCTTCAAATGTACCCCAAAATTTATTTTCCTTTTTAGAGGAAAAATTTGATACCATTTTGACTAAACTTGAAGATTTATCTACTAAATTCGAATGGCTGGCAAATTTGCATAAAGATTTTGAACAACGTCTTCTCAATGTAGAGAAGAAGGTGGAGGAAATTTCTAATTTAAATACCTCATTTACTGCTTCGACCTCCTATTTCTTATATCTTTTAGATTCATCGATAAATGAACGTCAGAGAAATAATATTGTTATTGCTGGTTTAGAGGGAAACTCGTCTGAAATCTTGTCCTTGGCTTCTGACATTTTGTCATCTATTAAAAGACCTAGTGGTGACTCAATTTTGATAAAAGATCTTAAAATAATCTCAAAAAATAAATTGGTGGTGGCTAAACTTGACATTGTCTCCGATAAAAAACTAATTTACCGGAATGTTCATAATATTCAGAAGAGAGAAGGATGCTCTAGGGTAAAGTTTTTCGATGATTTATATTGGAGATCGAGACTTAGGAGGAAAGGTCTTTTTCCTTTCTATCAAGAGGCTAAGAAGACTGGAAAAGATGCGTATATGAGAGCTGATTGTCTAACAGTAAACGGAGAAAACTTTACGTTTGATTTAATAAGCAATAAGCTAATGAAAATTGAACCTTTTTTATTACCAGGGAAGACGTTGGATCGACGAATGGACGAGAATTAAAAATTTCAACTNACATTGCAGAAATTGCTTTTAGCCCTTAGTATAATTAAATTAATTAATTAAAATATCTATAACCATAAGGTAGATAATAGGAAGGGCTTATCACACCAAATGACAATGGGCACAAACGCTCAAAAATCAAAGTAAAAAAGTTTAATAAAACAAATAGGGTTGTACAATAAGATGATTACATAATCCCATTGTCATTTGGTGTGATAAGCCCTTCCTATTATCTACCTTATGGTTATAGATATTTTAATTAATTAATTTAATTATACTAAGGGCTAAAAGCAATTTCTGTAATTTATTAAAACAGTTTATATTTTATAAGACTGCTCAAAAGTTGACATATCTTATCAGAAAAGAATACAGCATAAATAAAATCTGTAATCGAATCGTCTGATAATATATAATATCTTATAGATAATATGTAATACTTTGTCATTTGAGTTGATATGGATAATAACTCAAAAACACACATATTCTTACTTCATTTTTCCTTCGTGGTAATGACATTTTTCTTTATACAAAAATATATAAAAAGTATTATTAATATATTAAATTTTATGAAAAAAACAAAGGAAATCTGTTAAACAAACTGAAAAGTCATTATCGGAAACTTCAAAATGACTGATAAACTGAAGTAAATTATGACATTATAATTATTTTTAAAAAGTTTTGAACAGTTTTTCTCCCAAAAATACTGTATATCAATAAATGAAAATCTCTAAATACAAAATATAACATAGGATAGGTATTATATAAAATTAATATTATTTAATTGGAGAGTAATTTATTTTAAAAATTATTTACAGTAATAGTAATAATAATAATAATAATAATAAATTTGAAAAACTGATGATAAGTTATATATTTTAATACCCTAGTTTAATTAGACTTGATGTTAAGAAATATGTAGAATAGATTGCAATATTTGTTCTATTATTTTTTACACATTTTTTACAATATTTTTACTTATATAAAAACAAATATTTTGTTGTATTTTGTATGCAAATCCTGTATTAGCTTCGTCTAATTGACGGTAATATATTTAAAACAGTGAGTTCGGTTTCGTTCAAAAATTACTAAACGTTCTGATGCTTTTTAGTTTACAGTATATACAGTTATTTAAATAATTATTAAATTTAAAACTAAACTTTACTAAAATGTATTTTTAACAAAATACTTACAAATATAAGGCTAAAAAAATTCCTATGGGAATTAAAACAGAATACGGAATACCGTAAAAGTCTGTCATCTCTATGAATGATAAGAAACAAGCCGATCACTCTTTTATGTACTCAGATAGCAGACTTAGAATTGCACAACGTGACGACATAGTGAATAGAAGAAAGGATTGCGCAACGTGGCGGCATAATAGACAGATGTAGCCAATCAATTGTTACCTAACCTTTATGTAATGAATACGTAATTCTGAAAAAACCATATAAATATATATATTTGATTTTTCTGATTTTGTACAGTATGTTTTATGGAGAGTTTCCCATAGAAAAAAAGTGTTACATTTTTAACGTCTTCTGCTGGAGATGGTGTGCGTAGCCGAAAGGTTACAATAAGCCTTAACTATTGAAATATAACGATGCTTTCTGGATTAACAATTTTGGGAAATATACTTAATCATAAGCTAAAAGAATTATAATTTATATAATTATTCTAAGAATTTAGATTAGAATATGAAGAATTTAACAGAAAGTAAAAGTGAAAAATGTAATAAAAGTACAAAATTTATAACAGGTCAGTAATATACGAAGTGACATTTGGCAATTTTGAGTCTCTCATTCAAGATAGAAATCAAATCTTCTGAATCAATCTTCCTTTTCTATAATATAATATGTTGTATGAAAAATCTTATTATTATTTCACATAAGAAAAACATCTAAAATGTGTATTGTCTTAAGGACGATCTATACGGACTGATTTTTATCGTCTGTCGTGCATGATCAATCCAGATGAAACAGACAAAACGTAGTATATGGACAAGTTTGAACCTAGTGAAGTCTGACGACCTCTCTAAAGTTCTGGGGAGCTGAAACATTACTTTTAAACAAGGCGGTAGACAAATCGTTGCATGTAGACACTCTTCTGTCTGTTAACTTCCCGTAGTAATGTATCATCTTTTGGCGGTGCCAGATGAGTGTTGTTTTTCTTTACCTTTTTTTAAGATGTCAGATTTAAGAAAGTGGGCTCGTAACATTTTTACTGAACTTATAGAATTTTATAGTAGTTTATCTTGCTTATGGAAAGTTATATCAAAGAATTACTGTGACAAGAAGAGAGAAAATCAAGCATATGTCGCTGCGATTAATAAATGTGGAGAAGTGGATCGTGACGATACTAAAGAGACAATACGGAACTTTCTTTTTTGTTTTTTAATTTTACCGCGAACATTCAAATAATTGTTAATATCAGTTCATCTATGTATCTCAGGAAAAGACTGAGCGAAGGAGGAATAGTGTGATCACGTGTTTTGCGTCATTCTTAGTTGATCATGCAAGACGTAACGCTGCAAGACGCTGATAATAAAAAGTTACCTGTAGTCTGTCCTTTAGAAAGCTCATATTTTAGCGATAAACAAGACAAATTGTTATAATATATATAGTTCAATAGAAATTTGAAATTAGTTTCTAAACTCTCCAGTTTAAATTATCGATAACAATCTTAATTGCATAATAATGATTTGAAAGTGCTTATTAATATGTTGCTAATTCTTAGAATTATACAACAAAATATCTTCTTCACGTAGTCCAGAGTTGGCTTATTTTACAGACTTATCACACCTTGTAGGATAACTGATGAAAGGAATACGTTATAAAGAATTGTTTAATATTTTTAGTTAAAGGATAGATTTTCCTTAAACGAAGAGTATAATACATAATTGTACCATAGATATATCCTTAACTGAAAAAGAAGGAATATTATATAGGTCTGTATAATAAGCGATAAAAAATTTTGTGTAGAAATCTTGGTGGTGTATGGTATTTAGAAATCTTGACACATAATTTATACCAGTCATGTATTTATTATAATACATTTTCTAGATATTGTACTATTAATTCAGTATTTAAATCATTACATTTATTATTATACATTATTCACAGAGAAGCAGAAAGAACTCACGCTTTGCTTTAACCAAAATTAAAAACAAATAAATATATAACAGAAACAAATAAACTAGTTCTTTCTAAAATGCATTCTTATATTTGCATATTCGTTTTGTAGAATTGCATTGTTAGACATTTGATTATCTCATTTATTCGTTTATTCATATTTACAAAAACGTTTAATGCACATTTATTCCTTTAAACCATCCCACCTTTTTTTCACTAGGACCCAATTTCTTTTGCTGTATTTTGGTTTAACAAAGTAAAATTACACTTCACACTTTTCTCTCTCAAGAAAACGAGGAGTTTAAAATATGTCATTTACAATTAAAATTTACCATAAAAATATTCTACATGAATACATGCAAAAGCTGCTTAGCTGTAGAGAAAAACAGTAATAATAATAGCAACTTATTTAAACAATAACATTTTTTTTTCCCGAATTCAACTAGGTAAAGGATACTTGAAGTCTAATATAGGCCGTTTGGAGTATTCATTTTTCTGTGGAAGTTCTGAACTTCACATACAAGACACATATCGATTTTTTGAGTCAAACGTTGTGTCTTATATGCCGTAAAATACAGCAATTAATATACATTCTGTACAAAACCAATTCATTTATTCTTGCTGTCTTAATTCCAGATTCAAATAAACATGTTCGGGACAATGAATGCCTTTAGTTCTTCTGTATACTGGTTCGCTCTGGTAAAAAGCATTTTATAATTTTATAAATCATTACTCTTTAATTGAATAAATTATATGTAATATTTACCTTTGTATTAACTCCCGGTTTAAATCGAATTTTCCGCATCAAATAGATAATTGCCATTTTAATTTCCATTAAAGCGAATCTCATTCCTAAACAACCTCGAGGACCAATACCAAATGGTAAATTTGCATATTGGTGTATTTTTTCCTTATTTTCTGGGAGAAATCTGTAAAAATGTATTTATTTTTCGTAGCATTCTCTTGTCAGACTTTATTTTATTATTATTAACTCACCTGTCTGGATCGAATTTTTCTGGATTAGGAAAATAATTTGGATCATGGCAGAGAACGTAAGTAGGTATAGCGATTAAAGTCGATTTAGGAATTACAATATTAGTGTCTTTTATCTTATAATCCTCTACACTCCTTCTCTCTAATCTATTTATAAAACAAAAGATATATAAATAAATTTAGCTAATTGTAACCTTTCTGGTTATGCATGCGATCTCCAGCAGATGCCATTAAAAATTTAATGCTTTTTTTACAAGAAAAACCTTTTCCGAAAATGAACGTAGATAGGACCAAACAAGTTTTAGCGTTAGAATCCTAATTAATTCTTCTACTAATGCATGGTTCAGAATTTTGAAAATCGTAGAAAATTCGTAAAAACTTAAAAAATTCAATTTTCCACGGTCTGCTCCCTTTCAAACTTTTGTTTCCACACGTTTCAAAAGGTTCTGGAAGTCCTCAGTTGTTAACTGATAGATGATGTTCTAAATACTTTAGCAAGTTCTGCAATGAAATTGGCTTTCACCTTTTCTCATACACTTTTTCCTTTACCCAGTACCAAACTAATTAACTAGGAAAAAATAACAAACTAATTGTAGAATTCTGTCGGATGGCAGTTAAGTTTAAAATAAAATTGAATATATAGTCTGTTTAAAAAGGAATAGCCATTTATTCACTTTCAATAGAATAAATCGTTCAATTGATCTCACAAGTCAGTGGAGATATATTAGATACATTGTTTTCACAATGAATGCACAGTACCATAACCCATGTTGGTTAAAAGTAACAATTGTATCTCGAGGGTAATGGGACTCTGCCATATCTGGACAAAACACGTAATTTCCACTTAGTACTTCATCAAGAATGAGAATAGTCTCTCCTTAATGCATGTCGTACTATAAACATATTTCCGTGTTAATTAAAAAGTGTAGACGATGCGAAGCCAAATCGTCCGTAGGGCTTATAGATAACATACAAAAACCTTCGTCGGAAACTTTGAGTGATGTTTAAGCTTCACTTCTGGCATAAATAAGTTTCTACTTAGCACTTATTTTTCTCACACTCAGAGTCATCCGGTGTAAAATATAATTCGTTTTCATAGCAACCTGAATTGTTTTCCGGCCGCAAGTCTTTGTGCAATCGTCGGAATAATTTCGTTTGATTTTCTAGCTGCTTCACAGTGTATTTTGGTGAAGAATTCCTCTTTGAAATATTTTGTACTTTCGACCCAAAAAGACTGCCCCTTTTTACTAACAGCAGCGTCAGCTAGCTCCTTTCGTTACTTTAATTCTTTTCTTTCATTTTCTTCAGTGTTTGTTCCCCATTCTCTTAATCACATATCACCCTTTTTTGAATGTATTATAAAAACTAAAGTCTTGAATATATAACAAAGATTGTACAATATTCGAATAAAATTAAATAAAAAGGTAAAATAATTAAGAAATGAAATATAAATTTGAAAATTTAAATAATTTCTGTAAACATTAAAAGCTTAGCTTTTAGTATAGTAATCTAAATAATGTTTTACATCTAATTATTCACAATAAAATAAATAACGAATTAATATTAAAGTATACCTCGGATTAGGCGAATAGAATCTGAGAACTTCCTGAACAACAGTTTCAAGATACTTCATTCCAAATACTGTATCATAATCTAGTTCTTCCTAAGAAATTGGACATTAAGAAATTAAACATTTAAAAAATCTGTCGAAATAAATCATTATATTATTCTAATTATTAACTTTGCTAATTAACTAGAGACATACATTGTCTTTTACAGTTTCCTTTATTTCTTGATACAGTTTTTCTTGAACCGTCTGGTTAATTGCTAGTTCGTGAGCGAGAAAAGAAAGTGTAGCCATAGTTGTGAAGTAGCCAGAGATGAAAAACATGACGCATTGAGCCACGATATCATCCATTTCCAATACTAAATTTAAAATTTCGAATTGTATTTTGTAAAANAAAAAGAAAAGATATATAAATGTATTTATAATTATTATCTTTTCTTACAAATAAGATTTTATAAAATTGATTATTATTATTGTTGTTGTTGTAAATTAATTTAAAAAGTTAAACTACGCATATTATTAACGTCAGTATTTCCGTAATGATCTACTTAATCTACTATTATATTTAGGGCTGACGACAGAGAAGCTCTGAAATTCGGGACCGAATAGGGCGATGTTTTCAACTTTCTTCTAATAGCTGCACCCCTACTTGGGAAATTTTTTGTGGCACCCCTATTCCATGCCAATGTAGAGTTATTAAACTTTTCGTATTCATGTAATTGTTATGACACTGCTCAGCACCAACATTTTGCGGCACCCCGGTTGAAAACTACTGGAATAAGGTTCCATCCAGAACTTATACGATTAAATTTTAATTATGAAGTCTAGAAAATAAACTTAAGTAATTTCAGGTGTATAAAGAGAAGGAGGGAAAGAGAGAGAGATGTGATAAATCGAGAATGTCACGTCAATAGAAAGTATAAAGTGACTCAGGCAACCCTAGGCCCAGTGTTGTAATCGCAATCTACGACCCTACTAAAATGGTTAAAGCAAAATATTGATAACGAGCAATTATTTATTGTGACATAGTCACAATGCCTGGCTGCAACTTTTAATCATATTCTTAATTTATTTAATTTGAAATATATGTTCTCCATCTCAAATTAGTGGTATCTTGCTTCTATACATTATACTTCTGTTAGCAATAGAGTCGAGCCAATCATCTGTCTAACTCCTTTTAGGGGAAACTTTTGAATTAAAATCATGTAACTACCGGTTTAAATCAGAAGTTATTATACAGTTAATCGGACACAACTGCTCCCGATATTTTCACATCTGTCTCAATTTTCATCTAGCTAACACTGTTCTTGAGATTAAGGTAGGACAGACAGACAGACGACAGTGGAAATTTATTGGTCTGTTATGGAACAGTGGAAATTTATTAGACTACTAATTGGACTACAATTTTTAAAAAATTGTAATCCAATTAGTAGTCTAATAAATAATAACTAAAATGCACGGTACATTATAAAAATAATTCATAAAATTATACAGTAGACCCCTATAACACGGGTTCCTATAATTACAATTCCTATAAGACAGCGAAAAAATTGCGACGGTATCCGTAAAAAAACTCCTATAATTACGTAAAACGTCATCAACCAGCCGAATTACTTTCCGCCGTCCAGCGCCACGCTACGGAGAGATTACTATCGTCTGTACAGTATTATATATAAATTATATNACACTCGGTAAGTAATCCTACAATTTTTTGTTTATAGCATAGTTTATACGGATTATTCCCAAAGAAAATATATGTATTTTGGAAATGTTGAGTCGGATTAGTCTAGAATCGATTAATTTTATGGAAGAAAACCTTTCAAACAGCCGTAATCCGCAAACTTCACACGTGTCGGGCTGTGATTGGCAATGACTTGTAAGAAATCGGATTCATAAAGAACGGAACGTATCTACCGTGTTATAGGGGTGTCGACTGTATAAAATACACAAAAAGTTTAAACAAAATCAATAAAGTAAATGTATATCATATAAATTTTATTATTGGATTTTATGTCAATATAAATGATATTTGGTTTTAAATATATTTATCTTATCACATTAAAATAACTTAATCTGTAAATGATTTATACTTTGCTCATATTCAGTTTCTTTAATCTAAATATGTAATCGGTTCAACCATCATTATTTTCAAGGAATTATCACATCCAGACTCCGCAATTACTAGCCAATCAACAAGTTTATTTTACCCAGATGCATTTCGGAAATTACAATACTGTATTTCCCTCCTCAGTGGGTTTTCTTCCATACAATTCTAACAAGGCACAAAGACTCTTTCGATACACTCCCCAATTTTACAATACAGTAGAGCGTCGATTATCCGAAAATCAATCATCCGAAACGTCAATCATCCGAAAGAATTCCAGTCGGCAAATTTAAATTTTCGCCAGTGCTGTGGCGCAGCGATCTTTGGCTATGTCTTGGGCTACTCAAGTATTTTACGTTTTTGATACTAAATTAACTTCTGAAGTATAATTTTTTTATTGTTTTTATATTTTTTAATATATTTATTTTGTTTGTACAAAATAAAAAATAACTTTTTACGATACAATAGTCTTCGTTTGGCTTAACATCGACGAAAATTCAACGCAAAGCGACACGCAACGGAGAAAAGTTTCAACATAGGATAAATTAATATATTTTTTCGTGCATAATCGGTTATCCGAAACATCGATCTTCCGAACAACCCCAGTCCCCAATTGATTCAGATAATTGACGCTCTACTGTATTCCAACCGTTTTGACAACTTCCACATTAAAATCATATTTACCAGTGTTTTTTTTTTCGTTAACTACACTATATAGTACCTTATTATACACAGTCCTTACCATTATTGCTTTCATTCGTTGTCTTCCACATCATTCGCCAACATTGACGAAAAGCACATAGATAAAAAATTATTTTAATATAGAAGTAGTTAAAACCGGTATTTGAACCGGTTATGTATTGAGATTAATCTGTAAAGTATAAAAATTCTGACAAAGAAATTAATATAAAATTAATTATTTGATTGTTCGGTATCACAACCGTTGAAATCAGATGATATGTTTTGTGTTCTAAAATTTTACTGGAATATGTTTGAGTGTCTAAAGATGAGCCGGTCAGCCCGAAAGTAGGCCTACTTAGGCTTTTTAGCCTAAATACTTTGTTGTCTTTATCTTAGTCCCGAAAACACTAAACATCTGGCATTATATTTAATTTTCCGCAACAAAATGAATTAATATTAAATTATTCAAGTATACCTTGGATTAGGCGAATAAAATCTGAGAATTTCCTGGACAACAGCTTCAAGATACTTCATTCCAAACACTGTATCATAATCTAATTCTTCCTAAGTGAACATTTTAAGAGCGTTTTATCTTTCAAATAAATTCATTGTACTTTCAATAAGTTATTATTCTAATTATTAACTTTATAATTTAATTATTGTATATACTTACATTGTCATTTAAAGTTTCCTTTATTTCTTGATACAGTTTTTCTTGAACCACCTGATTAATTGCTAGTTCGTGTGCTAAACAATTCATTGTCGCAATTGTTGTGAAGTATCCAGCCAGGAAAAACATGACGCATTGAGCAACAATATCGTCCATTTCCAATACTAAATTAAAAATTTTGAATTATATCTTTTAAACCTTCATTATTTAACGTGGCATAATACAGTTATAATTTACACGATACAAGTAACAATTACTGAACCTTTTAGTTTCGGTCTTTCTTCTCTATGAAATCTGTATTACAATATATTCGAATTGTAACCAATTCGAATATATTGTAAAATCTGGAAAAGTCCACGTGGTCAATCATTGATGATGCGCAAAATGGCGAACAAATACCAGTATTCAGTGGATTTATCCACTCTGCCACAGGTGAGCTCGAAATGTTAAGTCGTTTTTAAATAGTGTAAAGAAAATACTTGCTTATGTGACCATTCCTAAAATTCTTCTCTAAAATTGCAAAAGTAAATGTACAGTACTTACGTAAGTTAGAATTACTGCATATTGCAAAGTATGCAGTATTGTGTGAATTTTTCATGTTACTTAATTAATTAATTTTTTATTTACTTTTATAATCTCCGTGAAACTTTTAGTAGTATTCATTACAGAACTTTAATTACAGGTCTGTAAGTAAATTTTTTCACAATTCCACTTGAATGGTTGGAAATTATATAAGGTGGCACCATAAGTGAGGCTTTACTGTTTCTTAATTTATTTTAAAAATGTCAATATGTTTTTGTTTATTTTGGATTTATTAGTGATATTGACATCTGAACTTACCTTTCTTCTCAGAAGTATTCTCATTATCGTTTTCCGCATTTAACATCAATTGTAAAAAGTCTTTACTTTTCGAATCCTAATTAAATAGCAGCCTATTATAAACTTTTTCAGCATATATATTTAAAAATTAGAATTTTATGATGAATAATTGAATTTTCATAAAGAAAATTAAATTATAAAATTTTTAAGCCATTGAATACATATAATAGACGTAATACTTGCTTTAGATTGTTTTCTATTGTTGATCACCTGCATAATTGCATTCTTGAAAAATAAAGACATGGAAGGGTCGAAAACGGAAAAACGAATGAGTCGTGCGAAACGAGGTAACATAACTAGAATTCAATTGAAATGAATCTTAAACATGTTAAACTGAAACTTATTTAATAAAAAGTATGATATTAATTCGTAAAATAAATGAAATTTCACAGAAATAGATTTTTCACAACAAAAATGTTTTATTCACACTTATTACTTGTTTCTGTTAAATATAGATTATAACCCAAACTTTCAAATACACATTGTAAGTAACTTTCATATCTAATTTTAAGAACATTTCAGAGAATTTAAAAATAAAATTTTTACTATTCAATGTTTTGAAAAAAAAATAATATTCAGATCATCAAAAATCATTTTTGTTTCATTTATTATTGGGTTGCAATTTGGAAAAGACCAATAAATTCCCACTGTCATCCGTCCATCTGTCTCCCTTTAATCTCGAGAACGGTATTAGATAAAGGAAATTCGAAACAAGATTTGAAAAAATTTGGGACAGGATGCCCCGATTAATTATAAAGGAACTTGCAGTCTAGAGCGTAAATTATGTGATTTCAATTCAAAATTTTCCCTGAAAGCAGTTCCCCTGACCGGTACAACTCTATTGTTAATTAAAGAAAAAGTATGATGTACAGGGGCACGCCACTACTAATTTGAGGTGGATAGCATATATTTTAAAATAAATAAATTAAAAATATTATTAAAAATTGCAGTCCGGCATTGTGACGATGTCACAATAAATAATTGCTCGTTTCATCTTCATTGTTATTTATTAAATACAGTAAATACTTTTCGTTATTTATTAACAAAAATTTAAAATGTCATCAGATATATCATTTATTTTTATGCAGCAAGAACATACCAACGGATATATATATGTTACTGTGAAAGACCGAAATTAGAGAATGTCGATATTCTCCGGTGAATGTCGACACATACAAAATACGTCGGTGAAAGACCGAATATTTGGTTATATTATTATACCTTCGAACAATCGCCGGTGTATGTCGACAAGCACAGATAAGCTTTGGTGGAGGTCGAAACGACACCCGAAAAGCCGATGTCGACAGAGAGGCGACAGTCTGTCGCCAAATCCTTTGTGGATAGTCGGAGGTAGGACAAGGTCGTACCTCTTTTTCCGGTAATGGTTTGGTGGAAATCGCCCACTCTTTCACTGCATGGAGTTTCTGTTCTTTTGATCCCGTGGGGTGGGAATCGGTTAGTCAGGTCGAGTGGCGGAGGATGAGAGGGGTCGTCGGTAAGGCGTCGGCGATATCCGAATAAAAGACACCATTAACAGATCAGTTCGTAATCACGTAATAACGTAATCAGGTTGTAATTTGTAAAGAAAAGTTACTTTTCATAGATGAGATTTCTTCTCAAGAAATATCGCTGAGAGAAGCAGCTACAGCTAAATCGAAAAGTAGAGGGTAAGGGTGCGACTATGCAGACGCGAGCGAGCGAGAATATGTGGCAAGAAGAGGCGAGACGCGATAAATATCAAAACCTGTCAGATATGTGCGAGAACCAGAAATTCGCTTTCGCTAGCGTTATTTCTCGCTTCTCGTTTGTTCATGGTTTTCCTTTGCGAAAACTAAATCGCTCGCAACCTGTCGCTCGCTCTAAATTCGCGTCTGCATAGTCGCACCCTAAGGCTATACAATCAATCAATCTTTTATTAAGGCACCATAGAAGTAGATGCCCGGTACCGCGAGGCATAGCCGGGCTACAAAACAAGATAACAGGTGAATTACAAAGTGTGGGAATTTATGCAATGTATTGCAGCAGGGTAAGGCTATACAGTAGACCCCACTATAACACGGAATTATAGGGGTCTACTGTACACGCTCTCATTGTAAAAAGAAGTATTCCACGAATAAATGCAGTTGTAAAAGCAAGGGACTCAAAGTGCCATAACAGTTTAAGTTATTGCAAAAAATAAGATTGTACAACGTCAATCACATAATTTATGTGTAAGTTTATTATTGTATTATTTTCTTTAATGATTTAGAACGTACTGTTCATTTTAGATTCAACAGTTTATTTACATGCGCTGTAACTTAAGCTTTCTCCTATTTTGACATATTAAAAAGTTGCATTCTTGTCTTAACGTAATAAAAATATTTTTATTCAACATTCACCATTAGTGCATGCTGAATGTCGACATTTGTCGGTGTAAGTGAGAAATAATGATATTTAGCAAATATTTCGTACATACACGAAACGACTGCGTGAATGCTGACATTCACAGGAGAATGTTGACATTCGCCAGATATCGGTCATTCACAGTAACATATAGCCTATACACAACTTATATATAGATGTTATATATATGAACATATGAAGAATAATGTAATTTTATTGTAAACTGTATAAAATATATCCCTTGTAATGTCCATTTGATTTATCAATATAATCGCTTTTACGTTTTTATGTTATGGTCTGTACAAACTGTCATATTCGGGTGTCACATTTTTGGTTGTCTATTTCTATACAGAGTCGTGTTGTTCGAATTCTTCTTGTTTTAGCACTTAATTCAGAATTAAAGAAAAATTGCGTTACAAAGTTTTATAAAGACACTACCATTAAAAGGGGGAGATGGTTTGTCCTACGTGTAGTGCTATCTGTTATTAAATTTTTACAAATTTTAATTTTTTGCTAATTGCTAAAATTGTTTCCAAACTCTAAAAATATGTATTGTTATCGGGAATACATATTAATGTAACGTTTCAACTATATCGGAAATTGGGTAGTGGGTGGAAATTAAGTTACTTTATCCGGACAGATAAACAGAGAAGTTAAAAAAAAGTCTACAGACTAATTAGTCTACTACATACGGTATATACTTATGACACTGAAACGAGTAAATATGTGTATCAATCGTTATGCATAATAATCTTTCCAATAACTAAAAATAGAAATGCAATATAACACCTGCTATTCTAGTTATATAGCAAGACAAGCTTCGTTATGTTTTACAATTAGGCTATATAATTTTTATTATAATCCGCGACATAACTAATACATTTTATATTATAATTATTAATACCTACTTGCTATTAAGAATCTCCACGCAGCAGAGTTTAAGATTTGGTCAGCAGCTTTAACAAAAGGATTATTCGGATCGTTACAAGAATCCAGGTTCATTCCAAAAGCGCATCTGGCCACGACGTCAATAGTGTAAGCACCAAAAAACCTGTAAATGAGTCATTTTTTTAAATTAATTATGTACATCATTTATTGGTATTTTACATTCTAAATTTTTAATAAAAACTAATCAATAATTTGAAAATCAAATGACATTCCTTAATCATTTTTATGTAATCTTTAATTAAACGATAGCATTGTAAAACTGTTTCGTATAATAGAAAGAATATATAAAATAATTTTGCAATATTCTGAATTATTTGGTATTGTTTTTCGTTGTTTTAAGTATTTTTGATAGCCGGCATTCCTTCACTTACTTGTTAACATCTACTTCTTTATTGGTTTTAGCTCCTTTCACAAGATTATTTTCGAGTGTTTTACAACAATCGTTAATTGATTTGGACATCTGAAAATAAATTGCCTAACTCAATTATTCTTCAATGGTGAGTTACAAATCATAGAAATTTAGAGTCACTTACCAATCTCATTTTCCCTGAAGTAAAGGTAGGAGTTATAAGATTTCTAACTTCTTTCCATCTTTCTGCACGCAGTACAAAAAGCATTTTATCTGTAATTGGATCTCCAAACTGAATATCCTGAAATGGAGATTTCAGAATAACTTATTAAATAATTCTTGTTAAATTCGTAATCGAAAATATTAAATGAAAACTGTATGTTCTTACCCTAATCTCAGAAAATACATGGAAATCCTTGACTAGAATATCTTTCAATAGATCTGGATCTGCTATCATAAGTACCGGATTTGTACCCTCGTATATCCTATATTTATATAAATTATACATTTTATATTATGTAAATATTAAAAGATTATCATTTTAATTATGTTAAAAAATATTTTTACCCAAATATCTTGCCATATTTGTTATACCAAACTTGTTCTGCTTTTCCTTGATGCTAAAAATAACAAATAAAGTATTTAAATACATTCAGTGAAGGAAAAAAACCTATGATTTTAAATATTTATTAAATCGAATAACATCTATTTTATCAACTTTACAAAATTATATTCGTGGATTTCTTTAAATTTAAATTTGTATATTTGTTTCTCTTATGTAAAAATAGCTGTATATTTCGGACGAGCGCGTGTCCGAGGCGGCTAAGAAGCAAGATTACCGTTCTAGAGACCCGGGTCAAATCCAGATTTTTTTGTGTATGGTATTTTGGATATATTGGGCCCTGCCATTCACCACTCTCGGGTCCCGACTGTGAGCTTTTTAATCATACCCAAAATAGGTACGATAAAAAAAGGCCCTCTTAGTGCCTATATAGTGAAAAATTCAAAAAATTAAAGATACAGTGGTGCCTCGTATAACGTACTGTACATCAAGATAAAGAGTTTGGACTGTTATTTTGATCAACTCCAGTTTTTTCCAAATGATTTTCACCTAGAGTCTAACTGATACCTTACTCATTTTTTGGAATTAAAATTGGAGTTGGTCAAAATAATTGTCTAAACTTGCTAGGCTTAATAGGATTCCTACGTTAATTTTTTTGATCTACGAATGTTTTAAAACGAATCAATAAAATCCGGAACGTATATTGTTTATTATAATTTTTATTAAGTTTTGCTAAAATAAAAAATACTTACAGAACTCAAGTCAAATCTGAAAGAACCTGTGAGTGGTAAAGGAGGTACTTCCGGAATTCCAAGACGTTTCCAATAACCAAAATTTCTTGTAAGATATCTAGAACATTTAAAATGTTATCTTTACTTAAAACAGATTAATTGTTGAGTCCAAAATATTTGCCAAATCATAGATTTCAATTTCAAATTTTATTTTATTAACGCGTAAAAGAAAAACCTAAAGGAATTATACCAGAAACATGTCATGATATTTCCGTTAAGCCACGATGACACGCGTTTCTATTCAACGTTTTGAATTGCCATTGAGAGAAAACTTTTTCCCAAATTTGAATTAGCCAGAAAAGTAAACATTGGACAAAATCTCTAATAAGAACACGAGAAAACGAGAGATCCGACAGTCCAGATGCTCCGTGAAACAGTATTAACATAAGATGTAAACGTCAGGAAGCTGAGGAGCTGTGCGGGGATCAATCTACAACGTACTCTAATCGTATCCATCTTTTATCGACTCCGTAAATCCATCGACACGTCGTTACCACCCAACGAAGCCAACGAGATTTGTGCAATAGTGTGAGTTTTGTAAAAAAGTATTAGAGAGGTTGCCGCCGACGTTTTCACCGCAAAAACATGTACGTCGGACGTTCAACGCCGCTTTCCTAAAGCCCTAGAAGTTTGGCAATGGTGTTTGGGACGTCGAGCATGATTCCACTGACTATCCAAACACCATTGTCAAACTTCTAGGCTTATAGGAAAGCGGCGCTAAACGTCCGACGTACACGTTTTCGCATTGAAAACGTCGGCCGCAACCTCTCTAATACAGTATTTGTAAATTAACTTCAAGCGTATAGGAAAATGAATGTATCACCCGTTTTACACAAAATAAATCATGTTATTGATTAGACTGTGTGAATAGCCAATCTTTGTAGAAATCCACGTAATCTTGACGTTTTACGAAGATAAGTTAAATTAAAATGAGAAAAGTAAAACCGCGAGTTAAACATGCCCATAGCGAATTATTCCGACGATTAACGAGAAGCTGTCCCAAATACAAATGCGTATTTCCTATTCTGTCTCTATTTCTCACAGTTTGCTGCTTTGTGTTGCGATTAGTGACTTAGCATTGACGAGAATCGAATACAGACAAATTAACCGTACTGTACATTGGATTAGTAGTATACGGTAACGTGACACGTGGGTGATCTGCCGAGACTTGGGAGGACTTTCTCTGGAAAACTGGCCCTTATTTAGATGTTAAAACATGAAGGAAACCAGGAAAAATTCACGTGGCCAGCTCGTTGGCGAGACGACCAACTACTAGTGTTCAATGGTTACCGACAAATTAGCATTTCACGCTTTCTATTCACGCTATTCATGTACTCAATGTGTCCTTTCCTACTAAATTAATCATACTCTACAATTTTGTGATTGATTTTATTTCCGTATTGTGCTTCGTTTTCAAGATAGGAGCGCTAGTTTTCGAATTTTACGGCTAACGTGCTGCAAGCGCTCTCATCTTGCAGCAAATACTTACTTTACTCATTTTTACTGTAAATACACATCATGTTCAAAACTAGCTGTGTTTGTCAAGTGACGTGGGTGTTTAAATTAAATTAAAATTAAAATTAATTTCTAGAGGAAATGTAAGATTAAAGTTAACATAAACCTACGCTCAACGCATATTTGTCTCCCACCCCTGCCATTTAACTAAAATTTCACACTGCATTCGCAAAGCTGTTCTTACGAAAAAAATACTATGTTACATTAATTTTGTTTTTATTTATCTTACTTTATTTCTAATTACTGTATTACAATATTAATATCAACTCAATACAGTATAGTGTTTATGGTATGGTATAGTGTGGATTATGATATTAGTTAGGCCAATTTTTAATAGTAATTTCCAAGCAACCAGTAACTACATTTACCAATTCCTATGGATGATGTTAACTGAGAATCTACTGTAATGTTCATTAAATAAATTATAAATCAAAAACGAATGGCATACAAGTTATATAAAATAATTGAAATTATAAAAGAAAAATAATTATAATTTTAAAATGTACTTACAGATATAAAGCTATAAAAATTCCTACAGGAATAAACACGTAATAGGGGATACCACAAATGTCAGGCATCTTCTGTTAACAATGTGACACTAATTTCCTTTATATAACCTTACATTAATCACATTCAATTATATAACTCATCTACGATAATACATAATCCTGCTTAACGTTTAATTCAAATATTTAATTTTAAATATTGTATAAATATTGTATAATTCTATAATAATACTAATTTAGCACAGTATCTTTAATTAATACACTTTAAATAGTATTTATTTAGCTGAATAAAATATTGGAAAAGACGAATCAGAGAGTAAATGTACTGTACGTACTGTACGTGTGATGGAGTGTGTCAACAGTTATGGAGGTCAAGGCAACTTTTTTTATTTTTTTGTGTGTGAAAACGTTATTGTTTCAGATAATAAAGTAACAATTCCAATCAATTTTATCAAATTTTATTATTTGTTTGATTCTGTCCGCTTCCGTCTTCGAGGATTTCCGGAAATGAATTTTTTTCGAAGAAAATGCATTAAATTTCTAACTCCATTTCCTGCATAACCAATTTGACGTCACAATCAGCTTTAATATATGATAGAAATGCATTTAATTTTACACGCTATATTTTTGCCAGTGGGCGTTTCGTATTATTTATATACTTGTTTATGTTTCTTCGTTTAAAATAAAATTTCAAGTTTACTATTATATTAAAAAATTGTGAAGTTGATAACAAAATTATTCTTTATACTGAAGTTAATGCTGATGTTTTAGCGCCCAGTTTTCAATTTACTCATAAAAATAGAACAAATGCGTCATCATTTAATCATAATAATTAAGTGACGTCAATCTAGCAATATGTAATTTAGGCCACCGTTTTTCCTCTGCGTGTGTATTTGTTTTACTTGCCTCTTTCCTAATTTTCGTCTAGAATTTATTTTTATTTATTTATTTTTTCTTAATTTTGACAAACTGAGAAGTTTTTCAACTTTAATAAAAATCAAACACTTATGTATAATGATTTTGTTATTTTTTTAATATACAGTATTTAAATGTTTCAAAATACAGTACATTTAATAATAGGCATACTTTTAAAAATATAGACGGATATTTAAGAATTATTTTAAAACATTTAGGAATTAAGGCTGATTGTAACCTCTTTGGTTATGCATGCAATCTCCAGTAGATGCCGTTAACATATGTAATTCTTTTACTAAAATATTTACCGTGGCCATGAAACTAAGGAACCAAAATGTCGACTCCATAAGGAACATTGGTGTCCTGACCTTGTGTTTATAGACCTTGCTGTGACTAAAGAGGTTACAATCAGCCTTATCTTGAATATTTTAAGCAAATTAAATAATATTTTTATATATATTAAAAGTAGATGAAAAAGGGTAATTTAAATTTTAGAACAGTAAGTTTCATTAGTGTCTAAATTACACATGTTGTTAAACAAATAATTACTTCATAAATATTAGAAACAAATATTAATGAATTTAACGAGTTTACAAATGATATATTTAATTAATTAATTAATGTATTAATTAATAATAAATTCATATCAAAATATTTTATTTCTGTATATATAAATACAGTATGCATATGTACAATCTCTCCGTATGTGTTTTTGTGTAAGTTCGAATTCATTAAGTTATTACTATTTTTTACGATTTTAAAACTCCATAAAAAATTAACGAATTCGATTTTCAAGATCTTAGCCGTATGTTAATAAAACAATTAAATAGAATTTTAATGCAAAAAATTATTTCGTTCTATTTTTAAGAATTTGTGGAAAAGTTTTATGAAGAGTTTCTCATAGAAAAGGCATTACATTTTTAACTTCCTCTGCTGGAGATGAAAAATTACAATATATTATAACGATGCCCTCTGGATTAATAATTTTGGGAAATATACTTAATCATAAGCTAAAAGAATTATAATTTATATAATTATTCTAAGAATTTAGATTAGAATATGAAGAATTTTACAGAAAATAAAAGTGAAAATGTAATAAAAGCACAAAATTTATAACAGGTCAGTATTATACGAAGTAACATCTTGCAATTTTGAGTCTCTCATTCAAGATAAAAATCAAATCTTCTGAATAAATCTTCGCTTTCTATGATATAAAATTGTTGTATGAAGAATCTTATTATTATTTCACATAAACAAACTATCTCCTAAAAAATGTAGTCTTATGGGCAATCTATATGAAAAAAGTGAAGAAAAACAACACTCATCTGACACCGCCAAAAGATGATACATTACTACGAGAAGTTAACAGACAGAAGAGTGTCTACATGCAACGATTTGTCTACCGCCTTGTTTAAAAGTAATGCTCCACCTCTTCAGCCTTTAGAGAGGTCGTCAAACTTTACTAGTTAGAAGCAAGAAGTCAAACTTTTGTCACAACGTTTTGTCTGTTTCATCTGGAATAATCATGCATGACTGACGATAAAAATCAGTACATATAGGTCGTATTTATATACATACTGTACTGTATTTATAGATACAGAATTAAAAATTCAAATATATATATATATATGTGGTTTTTCAGAATTACGTATTCATTACGAAAACGTTATGTAACAATTGATTACCTACATCTATTCATTATGCCGCCACTTTGTGTAATTCTTTCTTCTATCCACTGTGTCGTCATGTCGTGCAATTCGAAGTCTGCTATCTGAGTACTGTACATAAAAGAGTGATCGGCTTGTTTCTTATCATTCATAGAGATGACAGACTTTTACGGTATTCTGTATTCTGTTTTAATTCCCATAGGAATTTTTTTAGCCTTATATTTGTAAGTATTTTGTTTAAAATAAATTTTAGTTAAGTTTTAGTTTTAAATTTAATAATTATTTAAATAACTGTGTATACTGGTAAACTAAAAAGCATCAGAATAGTAATTTTTGAACGAAACCAAACTCACTGTTTTAAATATATTACCGTCAATTAGACGATGCTAAATACAGGATTTGCATACAAAATACAACAAATTTTGTTTTTATATAAGTAAAAATATTGAATATCACGGCGTGTAAAAAATAATAGAACAAATATTGCAATCTTCCTACATTTTTCTTAACATCAAGTCTAATTAAACTAGGGTATTAAAATATATAACTTATCACCAGTTTCAAATTTATTATTATTATTACTATTACTGTAAATAATTTTTAAAACAAATTACTCTCCAATTAAATAATATTAATTTTATATAATACTTATCTTATGTTATATTTTGTATTCAAAGATTTTCATTTATTGATATACAGTATATTTTTGGGGAAAATTGTTCAAAACTTTTTAAAAATAATTATAATCTAATAATTTACTTCAGTTTATCAAATAATCAGTCACTTTGAAATTTCCGGTAATAACTTTTCAGTTTGTTTAACAGATTTCCTTTGTTTTTTTTTCATAAAATATATTTATAATACTTTTATATACTTTTGTATAAAGAAAAATGTCATACCACGAAGGAAAAATGAAGTAAGAATATTTGCGCTTTTCAGTTATTATCCATATCAACTCAAATAACAAATTATTATATATTATTCCGCAACCGGTGTGCCGTCACAAGGTGAAAGGTGTGACGTGAACTTTTACATATTTTATTAATTTTCAAGTTTTGTTTATATATTTTTATTACATTTGCTGTGTTTTTTATGCTTGTATTTCATTCTCTGCGGCAGCACTGACAAAATAAGATGACGTTTGTTTATTCTTTATTACAAACCACACATTTTTATGTATTTTAAGTAATTAAATGTAAAATAAATTTGCTCACAGGTATTGATTCTGTTTAATAATAATAATAATAATAAATTAGTGGCATTACGTAATTCTGTTAGTAGTATCATATCATACGTTTTTGAGGGTAATAACATTTTGGTGTGCCGTGTTGAGTAAAGGAGTTAAGTAGAAAAAGGTTACTGAACACTGATGTATAAGATATTATATATTATCAGAAGATTCAATTATAGATTTTATTTATGCTACATTCTTTTCTCATAAGACATGTCAACTTTTAACGATCTTATAAAATACTAACAAATAAGCCTGGCGTTGCACGGGAAAACGATTTGGATGATTTGGTACGTTTGAAAATTAAGTTATTACTATCAAGAACAGAAAATCGCATTTAAAATAGTACATAGAAGTCATTTTTTCGGTTAAGCCTTAATGCTCTCCTTCTCCCCCCCGCGGGGAAATTTCGTAAAATCATTTTTTAGTGTGCATTTTCATGACGTACTCTAACTGTGTACCAAATTTCACCTATTTAGATTCAGCGGTTTGCTCTGGGCGATAATCAGTCAGTCAGACTGGACATGTAATTTTATATATATAGATAAACGGTTCTAATAGCTATATTTATATGATAAGTAATTCTAATCCAAAAATGGTTCCTATAGAGAACACGGAAGGTATAAATCATATCTATAATTCGCATCGTGCTTCGTTATATTTATTGTTTCATACGACGCAAATCCATAATGATTTCATCTAATTATGTCTATATTATTAGAAATATTTTGAAAATATATTTTTAATTATATTTAAAAATTTCACATTTGCATCCACAACATTTGATACTGTTTGGTTCTATCTGCTTCCGTTTCCGATAATTTTTTAAAAAAGATTTTCTTATAGAAAAAACATTACATTTTTCACACTATACGCTGGAGATTGAGTGCATAACCGAATTGAATACAATCAGCTTTTAAAAAGTCGATTGTTTTAAGTACAGGTATTTACAATAATTAGAATTTGATATTTGAAGCCTATTCCAGAAAACCTCACTTCATCCAATGCTTTTTAAATAATTGAACGATTCTGTAAATGAATATAATTTTTTTCAATAAAAACTATATTTGTTAAGTTATAAATATCTATGCATATAAAAATATAAATGATAAAAATTAAGAGGATAATTCGCTAACAAAGGCAAATA